AGTGTCTTACAGGCTATTGTGGTAACATCTACCATGTCAAGGACTGCATCACTGCTGCAGAGATGATCCATGCCTGCATTGTCACACACACCTTTGCAAGTTGATATGACTGTCCTGCCAATATTGCCAACCTGCTGTTGCCCTCTTTCTCTCAGGATGAGGTGCATGAAGTTGTGCAAGGCCTCCAACTTGATGTCACAGATGCCCAAGATCTCAGGAGAACAAGATGCACAAATCAGCAGGAATACAAGTTGAAGTCATTCGTCAGCGTCTTGGCGTCATTCGTCAGGGGTTGGGGTTGAGGTGTCTTTTGTTGATGATGATGATGGTAGGAGAGAGAGAGAGCGAGAGAGCTAGGAGTCTATATATACAAAAGAAGAGCGGCGGACTGCGGAGCATAACAAAGCATTTGCCTTGAGTAGGTTGTGACACCTGTGGTCCGTGCTAAGATGTTCAGGCCTTTTACTCGGCCGTAAGCACTGCCTTCACTGTCTCCACGCTTTGTGCGGCTTTATCTACTTCAACTACTTCAACTATACAAACTGGATCTTGCCACTGCAACACAAGGAATGTTGCAGTATGCAGTGTCAAGACTTTGAAGTTCTGCTGCACATGATTGTCACAGGGACGGCTGGCCTGCGCAAGAGAGTGCGCCAAATGATCAGCGGCAGTTATGATAATGTCGCGTAACGGAGCAGTATATGAAGGGTGTGCAGAAGATCAACATATGAAGGGTGCGCCAGATTGATCAGAGTTGACAACCATTGGGGATCAACGAGATTAATTGGGTTGGCAGTGCACATGATTTACGAGATCGATCGAACCCCAGGAATCCAGATCGATCTCATGGGAATGGTCGGAGTCAGCCAGACCATTATGCTTCAACGAGTCGGCCGATCTGAACAAGTACTTGGAGCTATGCTGACAATGGAGGCAGTCAGATCAGCACGCCTCAACTAATCGGCCGATCCGAACAGGTATTCGGAGCTGTGCTGATGACAGAATCAGTCGGATCAGCACGCTTCAACTAGTCAGCCGATCTGAGCAAGTATTTGGAGCTGTGCTGACATCGGAGTCAGTCGAATCAGCACACTTCAACTAGTCAGCTGATCCAAACAAGTCGAGACAGAACTGAGCCAATGTGACCACATAACCAGGGGGTATGGTCATGAGGTTCAAAAGGGGATTCACAAGATTAAGTCGAAAGGGGGCTGTGCCAGAAGGGGGCATCACACATCAGACAGAAGGAGAGCATGAAGGCGAGAGGGCAGTGTTGCATAACCCTTATGCCAAGCAAAACGGTAGGAGTGCAGTATCGAAGGGGATGATGCCAGCAGGGCAAGGCAGTGCCTAGCAGGGGACAAAGGCCCCTCAAGAGGAGCAGGATAGGTGTCGAGGGAAAACACTGATCGAATGTATAAATACTCTCTTTCTACCATAGCATTTGAGTGGACAGGCATCCACTCTGAAAACTCTACTACTTACTCTATACTTACTAGGTTATGTATCTTCGCAATAGCAGTGCTCTTGCAATGACTCTCAATGTGTGTGTTGTATCACCGTTAGTTGACAACTGTAGGCGGTGTTCCTTACACTAGTGGTCCAGTTCATTACTGTTGGTGGTGTTCCTTACACTAGCGGTCCAGTTCATTACTGTAGGTGGTGTTCTTTACACTAGCGGTCCAGTTCATTACTGTAGGCAGTGTTCTTCACACTAGTGGTCCAGTTCCTTGCTGTAGGCGGTGTTGCTCGACACCAGCAGTCCAGTCGGTTATTGTAGGTGGTGTTTCACACCAGTGGTCCAGTAACTCACATCCTCTGTAGGCGATTGGCATATCGCGGTCCAGATGACGTCCAAGAGCATATCAACAGTACTATGAACACTCATACTGTAGGGGAGGGTGTATCACACACTCACCAACAAACAACATCTGTGCTGTGCAACCTCTGAACAGAGTGTTCAAGGCAGTCAGTCGAGACTTACTAGGCGACGATGCTTGGTTATGTTTAGGCGAATCATATCGAGTAGTCCTTACTCAATCAACCCCAGCTAGTCTCTGGCGCGCGACCGCTTACAATGATCTTCAAGAGGAAATGTTCCAGGTGCTGTTCAGATCCACTGGGTGCAATGAGGAAGACACTACTGCATTGTCTCGATGTCATGAGAAGACTACTGTGGACTACAATGCCATGACTCAAAGCGCTTCAGCTAGGAGATGGGAGCAAGCCTTGATGCAACCATTCTCAATCTGACAGGCACTCTCTCTTCTGCTGTTGAATACAACCCTTGTTACCACATATGTAACATTACATTGAGTGCATTGTGTGAAGAGGAAAGTGTCAGGGGTCTCGCGCCTGAAACCCAGGTCGGTCTGTCGAGATACTCGGTGACTATCAAACTGTGCGACAGCTATTGTCTCGAGATACTCGGTGACTATCAAGTTGTGCAGTGACAGCAGGTGGCGTTTGTTGTATATACTATCGTAGGTTTCGGCTGACCTCTGTGGACACTCCGTTCAGGGGTAGCTCGGCACGATCAATATCAATGTTATGATGACACCAAGGTCTGGTGTGGGTGTTGATGATGATGAGGTTGATGGTGTTGGTGATGAGATTGGTGATGTCGATGATAATGAGGTTGATGGTGTTGATGGTAAGGTTGGTGGCGTCGATGATAATGAGGTTGATGGTGTTGGTGATAAGGTTGGTGGTGTCAACACGAGTGTCCAGTGTGTTGACTTGATGCTTGAAGTGATCCCCGGACCGCAGTGGACTACTGCCTTCGGTTCTATCTATATCCGGACCGCTAACCTGCTATGGGCGCCTTCGGACGTCAGGTAGTGGTGATACAACACACACACTACGATGAGGAGCAACCTTGATAGATTGCTGCTATGCTGACTGAAACTAATGTATACTTATGCTGAAGTGATAACTAGTTATGGTGAGTAGAGTGGATGAGGATCCACTCGACCTATTGATGAGAAAGCATGGTTATATACCTCTTCTCAGCATCGCCAGCGATGCTGCTCCTGCTCTCTCTCCAGAGAGTACCTTCTTCATCGAGTACTGCTCAGGGGCCTCTCCTGCTTGGCACCCCTGTGCCTTTTTGAGCTGTGTCGACTCCTTCGACACTGCTCCTCCTCCTCATGACCTGGTGTCGACTCCTTCGACACTGCTCCTCCTCCTTTGATCAGTGACAGTTCCTTTGGCTCTTGTCTCTCGAGCCCCTGAGTGGTAACCATCTGCATGCTCCTTGAGCTTGGTCCTCTTCGTGGCTGTGCCTGCTCCTTGAGCTTGGTCCTCCTCGTGGCTGTGCCTGCTCCTTGAGCTTGGTCCTCCTCGTGGCTGTGCCTGCTCCTTGAGCTTGGTCCTCCTTTGCATGTGAGTCCATAGGAGTCCATGGTCTCCATGGAGACTGCACTACGACCATGCTCTCTACTGGTGTCGACTAGGTCTTCGATACCTGTGCTCCTTCCATATGAACCCATGACCCTCCTGCTTCTTGAGCATCCAGGCCCATGACAGAAAGCAAGATATAAGCAAGCAATGGGTGATAGCAACAAGAGCAGGATGTCAGCGGTCGCGCACCTGAAACCTGAGATCGGTAGTAGTATCGATACTATTACCGATTCTGTCGAGTTATGCGACAACACTAGTGGTATTTCGATTCTTGGTGAAATATGTGATAGAGCTGTCTCTATCACTTTTCTTGCTCAAATCTGTAGTTGTGGTAATGCTATTGCAGATTTCGACTAACTGCTGTGGACACTCTGTCCAGAGGTAGCTCAGCACAATCAATATCAATATGTGAGTATGGTAACACCAAGGTCTGGTGTGAGTATCTTGTTGGTAATATGATTGGTGGTGTCAACACAAGTGTCCAGTGTGTTGACTATCACTTGAGGTGATCCCTGGACTGCAGTGGACTACTGCCTTTGGTTCTATCTTTATCTGGACTGCTGGTTTGCTATGAACTGCCTTTGGACATCAGTGAGCAGTGATATGACACATGCGCTACAATGAGGAGCAATCTATTGATTACTACTATGCTGACTGAAAACTAATGTATACTTATGCTGAAGTGATAACTAGTTTTATATGGTGTAGAGTGGATGGGGATCCACTTGACCACTTGTGATGAGAGGGTATGCTTATATACATTCATCGTAGTGTCGCCTGCGACACTGCTCTGGCCCTCTCTCTCCAGCGAGTACCTTCTTTGTCGAGTACTTTACAGGGGGTCCCGGTAGTACCACCCCTGTTCTCCTTGAGCTATGTGTCGACTTCCCTCAACACTGCTCCTCTTCCTCATTTCCTGCTCACCAGTGTCCTTGACACAGCTCTCCTTCTTTCAACCAATGATGGTCCCCTTGACTCCTACCTTGTGAACCCCTGAGTGGTAACTGTCTACATGCTTCTGAGCTTGGTCCCCATCTTGGCAGGGCCTGGTCCTCATCTTGGCAGAGCTTGGTCCCCCTCATATGTGAGCTTGGTCCTCCTTGCATGTGAATCATCATATGGACATCCTTATTACTGATCTCCATGGAATCTGCCATACAATCAAGCTTACTGTGGATTCTGGCAGAATTTGTGATATCAGCATTGCTTGTGCAGATCTCGATGAGATCTGTCATAGCACTGTTCCTACTACAGATCTCACTGAATTCTGCTACAATTCCCACAATCTGCCTGATCCCTTGATTCCTGCACTCCCTTCATATGAACTGATGGGTCTTCCTGCTTCCTGCGCATTCAGGCCCATGACACAGGACATATAACATATGCTTACTGTTAGGTTACATCTTTTATTGGCCATATGACTTCATTGCATTTTTGGAAACAGTTGAGGAGTATTTTGCGATGATGGTGGTAAGAGACAGAGAGCGAGAGAGCGAGGAGTCTATATATATACAAAAGGAGAGCGGCGGAGAGCCGCATTAACTGCGGAGCATAACAAAGCATTTGCCTTGAGTAGGTTGTGACACATTTTAGTCCTTCTACTCGGCCGTAAGCACTACCTTCACTGTCTCCACGCTTTGTGCGGCTTTAACTTCCTCAACTGCCTCCCTCAGTGGTAAGGCAGGAGGCTGCCGATCCACTGCATCATGCTTGGCCTTCAGTCCCAATCCCTGTCGCGCGCGCTGTAACGTGGTCTTTCCCACCGGCTTGGTAAAGAGGTCTGCTAAGTTGTCTGCAGTGTTGATGTACTTGATCTTGACCTTTCCGTCTTGCACGTTATCTCTGATGAAATGGTACTTGGTATCGATGTGCTTTAACTTCCAGTGTTGCGCGGGATCCTTGCTAACCTGAATAGTGCCAGTGTTGTCCGAAAAGATTGTGGGGATACCGACGTCAATGCCTACGGTCTTGAAGAGGTGTTTGAAGAACAGGATCTCTCGTGCGGCTTCTGTCGCGGCTACGAATTCTGCTTCCACTGCCGATAGGGCGGTGCAGCGCTGAAGAGCTGACTTCCATGCTACCAGGTTACCGCACACGAACACCGCTGAGCCAGATGAGCTCTTGCGTTGTGCTGTGGCATCGCTTGCCCAGTTTGCATCGCTGTGCGCTGTCAGGAAATCTTGTTGCTTGTCGCTGCCATATTGCAAGTGGGTGTCACGTGTGTGGTCCAAATATTGGAGTACCTTTTGTGCAGCGTTGTAATGCTCCTTTGACGGCTGTGTCATGTAGCGTGCAAGAACGCCGACAGCTTGGCTGATGTCCGGACGTGTTCCATTTGACAGCCACAGAAGTTTGCCGACGATCTGTGGGTATTCCTTTCGCTCTGCCATGCTTGCTGCCGTCTCTGGGACTGGGATATCTTGGAGTGGGACGCTAGATTTCCTCCTGCGCTTGTCCAGGTGTTCATCCAGAAGCTGCTTGACGTAGCTGGTTTGCTCGAGATCCATGGTTTTTGCTTCTCGATTCCTGGTGATTTTGATCCCGAGGAAGTGGGAGACGTTGCCGCCATCCTCCATCCGCCATTTTTGGCCTATTTCCTCCTTGATGCGCCTTACTGTTTCTAGGGTTGGGGCTATAATTAACGTGTCATCAACATAGATGACCACTATTGCGAAGTTATCCCCTTCTCCTCTGGTGTAGATGCATGGTGCGCAGTCGAGCCTGTGGAAGTTTGAGCGTCGCAGGAACTTATCAAAATCCATGTTCCACTCCCGTCCCGACTGTTTAAGACCATATAGTCCCTTGATGACTCGGTAGGCTTTCCCCGTCGGCACCTTGGCGCCTTCCGGTGGTTTCATGTAGATCACGTGGTTGAGCGTGGAGTTAAGGTAAGCCATTGTGATGTCGAGCTGATGGATTTCCCAGTTGCGCTCTACTGCCAAGGATAACAGGGCTCTTATTGCGCTGAGTGGTGCCACAGGCGCGAAGGTCTCTTCAAAGTCAATACCCTCCCGCTGTGTGAAGCCCCGTGCGACGAGTCTTGCTTTGTGCCGGACGGGTATGCCGTCGGCATCCAATTTTAGCCGAAGGACTATTTTGGAGTCGACCAGTCTAGTGTTTGGTGGAACATCCACTATCTCCCATGTTCCCATTGCCTCGAGTCCATCTAGCTCCTTGCGTATGGCTTCCTGCCATTGTTGCGCATCATCACCGGCAAGTGCTTCCTTTAAGGTCGGCGTGAGGTTCAAGGCGGCTGTATGTGCTTCTCCAATCATCTCTTCGACATCGAGCTCCGACCTGTTGTCGTCGGTAGGGTCGGTGGGCGGTGCAGTGTGTGGCTCGGGGAGTGGATCCTCCATGTCGAGTACTTCCACCTCCAGTTCGGGCTTGTCGCTATCTGCCTCGGGTCTAGTGCCTTCTGCTTCGAGGCTCTCGAACCCGAACTGCAGTGGGCTCTGCACGCTGGGGCGATCATGCCAACCTTTGGCTTCGTGGAATGTGGCTGAGTTGCTCCACCGTATGGATGGGGAGTGGCCGGGGGTGAAGAATTTCCATCCCTTGTGCTCGTCATCGTATCCGACCATGATTCCTGGGATTGCTCTTACGCCGTGCTTTCCTGCGTGATCTTTCCTGGGGAGGTGGACCCAAGCGAGGCAACCGAAGACACGCAGCTGCTTGGCCAAACCATGCGCAGACTTGCGATAGAAGTCCTCGTATGGAACCCTATTTGCTTCGGTGGAGGGTGTCAAGTTCAGTGTGTGCCCTGCGGCCATGATGGCGTAGGGCCACAGCTCCTTTGGTACCGATCTCTGAACCAGCATTGCGCGCATTTTTTCTTGAAGGGATCTAATCATGCGCTCTGCTCTCCCGTTCTGGGCGCTGACGTATGGTGTGGTTTTCTGCCACCTGAACCCTGCTTCTCGTTTCCATTCCTCTGCTCCAAAGCTGGACCACTCTGTTCCGTTGTCGCTGCGGATGCACTTTAGTGTGTGGTCTGTTGCTATCTCTGCCGTCTTGATCCATGCTTTTAGGGCAGGGAACGCTTCGGCCTTGCTGAGGAGTGGTTTCACATATACGTAAGATGACGAGTCATCTACAACTATCAATGCGTGGTGGTAGTTGGGATGGCCTTTCAGGTCCGTCATCAGGTCAATGTGTACCAGCTCCAGAGGTGCCTGGGCTCGCTCTGTCTTGCTGCTTGTCATTCTTGCGCGTGTTTGCTTTGCTTGGCTGCAACAGTTGCAGTCCCTTGCATCATGTCCAAGCTGTGTCTCCTTTCCTAAGTAGTGGGCCTGGATTTGCTTGGTCTTGTTCCTGCCAGGGTGACCGAATCGTTCATGCCATAGTTTGCTCGTTGTGTGGCTTGCGGGCTTTGCTGGTGTTGTGGTGGCATCAATGCCCTCTAGGGGATCATTGAGCTGTGCTGCTAGGGCGTCACTGTAGACCTCCCATCTCTTCTTGCGCCGGTTGGTCTTGCTCTTGACCATGCTCCCATCGTGTTGGAGGATAGTAGCTCCAGACTCTTCAAATATCACGCGTGCACCATTTTCAGTCAGCGCTGGGATTGACAATAGGTTCTTGCTAAGGTTGGGGACGTGAAGTACATCAGTGAGCGGTATCTTGACGTCTCTTACTCGCAAAGTTGCATCGCCTATAGCCTGTACCCGCAACCGTTCATGCCCAGCAGTGTCTACGGATCCTTGCTTCGGCGTCGAAGCAATGAGCTTACCCCCATCACGTACCATGTGATGTGTAGCTCCTGAGTCGAGAATCCACGTGCTGTCTTGGTTGCGGTTGCCAGTGTTGCTTACGAAGGAGGTGCACCCGAGTCCCTATTCCTGCTGAGTAGGGGTTCGCTCCTGGCTGTTGGTGCAGTTGATGGCGATGTGCCCGGGTTGCCTACACTTGTAGCACTTGGCCGGTTCATTAGGGTGCGCAGGGTCACGCCTGCCCCTGTTGTAGCCCTCTTGGTTAAGGACCTGCCTGTGCTCGCCAGCTTGGCCTGCCGGACTTCTGTTGCTTGCAACTCTGGCCGTGGCTCGGATACGACCTGAGAGCTCGGCTTCTTGGTGCTTCTTGGCTAGTGCATGGTAGGCATACTCGTAGCTGCAACCAGGTTGAGCGGCTTTGAGGGAGTCTACTGTCTGGGTGTAGAGCCAGTCGTCCTTGACGCAGCGGTACAGAGTAGACTTCTTGAGCTTTTCGTCCATGCGGCTTCCGAGCCTGGCTGCGTCATTCCAGATTTGGTCGAGCTCCTTACCGAGGTTGACAATGTTCCGCTGGGCTAGCTTTACTTCGTGTACTCGGTCGTGGATGGCGGAGAGTTTAACTTCGTCGTTTATTGTGAGTGCGGCCTTGAGTTTCCTGTAGAGTGTAGAGCCGAGTTGCTCCTCCTCACCTTGCTCCCGCACTGTGTAGGTGTCGATGCGGCTGGTGGGTCCGTGGTCGCAGGAGGATAGGATGAGGCCCAGCAAGTGGCTGTCCAGTTCCTCATCATAGTCGGTGTGGCCCCTGGGAATCTCCTCAGTGAGGATCCGCTTGGCGTCCTTGACCGGCCGGATACAGTCCATGAACATCGGCTCCCAGATGGCCCAGTTGTTCTCGTTGAGCTTGACGATTTGCGATATGATGCTGAGCACCGACTTGGGGATCTTCTCCGCTTGGTTGGTGTTGGGTTGGATGTTTATTAGCGAGAAGGCGCGCTCCAGGACTTGGTCTTCATCCCAGTCGATGTGAGTTTCCCTGATCATTTGCATTGTGCGTTCGAGTAGCGCTACGCTGTCTACTCTTGGTGGCATCTTGGTGGCGGTGCGCTGGAAGCTGCTGAGCTTCAGACTCTATCTTGGTGGCGGTGGGCTGGAAGCTGCTGAGCTTCAGACTCTATCTTGGTGGCGGTGGGCTGGAAGCTGCTGAGCTTCAGACTCTTAATCAGTTGAGGAGTATTTTGCGATGATGGTGGTAAGAGACAGAGAGCGAGAGAGCGAGGAGTCTATATATATACAAAAGGAGAGCGGCGGAGAGCCGCATTAACTGCGGAGCATAACAAAGCATTTGCCTTGAGTAGGTTGTGACACATTTTAGTCCTTCTACTCGGCCGTAAGCACTACCTTCACTGTCTCCACGCTTTGTGCGGCTTTAACTTCCTCAACTGAAGACTTGTAAGTGATTCAATCGAGGAAAGACTGGTGAATCAAAATATGACGTGAAAAATAAGCGACTGTCTAGACGTAGAATTAAGCATCGCCGGATCAGCCACATCTGGAAGACACATGAGAGACAGAAGGCTTATTGCTTCGGAGGGGGGGCAGTGGTCATGTTTTGCTCGATCATTTTCTCTTGTTCCAACATTAGGGTTTGCTGTTCGGCCCACATTTCCTCGGTGGGCAAGAACGGCATCCAGGGCATCTGGTAGTTGGGTAGATTAGTAATAGCGACCACGCCGTCCTTCTTTTCAGAGGCATCACGGATGCGCAAGCCTGTCATAGTGTTGAACTTGATGGGAGGAATAGCTGGGTCGCCATTGATGCACATGAGGACTTTGGCTTGCTTCTTAGGAGCAGCGGGAGCCGTGTCAAAAGATTGGCGTTTGTGCAGAAGCGAGTCGACCATAATGTTGGCGGTTTCGGCTTGGAGGAGTTCACGTCGGGAAAGGCTGGGAGAGGAGGAGCCAGTGGAGGCAATAGCTTGCTGGTATTGCTCGATGGTCATGAGCTGGCCGTTGTAGCGGATTTTTCCGGCTGGGACGGTGCCTCCTCCCGCTTCGTTCAGGGCACCTCCGCCGCCCATCATGCCGCCTCCAGCCCCACCTCCGACGCCCGCTCCACCACCGTAGTACCCGCCAGTGGTCTGCTGGCCCCCAACGCCAGCGCCGCCAGCGCCGCCACCAACGTAGTACCCGCCAGTGGTCTGCTGGCCCCCAACACCAGCGCCGCCAGCGCCGCCACCAACGTAGTACCCGCCAGTGGTCTGCTGGCCCCCAACACCAGCGCCGCCAGCGCCGCCACCAACGTAGTACCCGCCAGTGGTCTGCTGGCCCCCAACACCAGCGCCGCCAGCGCCGCCACCAACGTAGTACCCGCCAGTGGTCTGCTGGCCCCCAACACCAGCGCCGCCAGCGCCGCCACCAACGTAGTACCCGCCAGTGGTCTGCTGGCCCCCAACACCAGCGCCGCCAGCGCCGCCACCAACGTAGTACCCGCCAGTGGTCTGCTGGCCCCCAACACCAGCTCCGCCAGCGCCGCCACCAACGTAGTACCCGCCGGTAGCAGGGTTCACGCCCTGCTGTCCGCCGAAAGCAGGGTTGGCGCCAGCACCACCAGTGAAGCCTCTGGCAGCTCCGTCATAGGACCCGCCTGCACCAGAACCTCCGGCCCCACGGTCGTTGAACCCGCCAACGCTTGTACCACTCGCGCCAGCCGAGCCATCAGCACCTCCAGCACCGGCACCAGCACCGGCACCAGCACCGGCACTGTCGTCGGTTGGGGGAGTGACATGCATACATATCCAGCCACCCACCAAACCGTTGCCATTGAGGGTCTCACTGGCAAGACGGGGGACCATACCACTTGCATACGGATACGGCATCTTGGGCAGCACAGGAACACCGCCCACAACAGGCTTGGGAATCAAGCTTTCATCCTTCTTCGGAGCGGAGACGTCGCCAAAGATCCAATCAGATGCCTTGGACGAGATGCGAGTCAGCCACGACATAAAGCTTCGTGATTCGATGCGGCGCTGTCTGCAACCCCGGCAATCAATGTTAGAGGTGGAAAGACGGAATATGATGAGCCGGTGTGCCACAAGAAAGAGTGCATTGTGAAGAAACGAAGGGAGATGCAACTTACTTTGTCATACGAAGATGCATGGAAAGCGTGTCGGGGTGAGAGCCGTGCGCTTCAATGGCGAGAAGGAAAGGCATGATGACCAGTAGCAAGGCTAGTAGCTTAGCCATGTTGAGGGATAAAAAGTCGGCTCGCATGGTGACGATATTGCGTTGTCAGGACTTGACGAACCTTTTTCGGTAGGGTGATTCGCGGAAAAGAGTAAGCAGGGAGATAAGGGGTAGAAGCTAGCACTGAAGAAGGAGCGAGGGGCGGCCGTGTTCACTTTATAAAGGAGATGAGCTGGCAAGGGGCAGAGATTACTGTTTGACGGCTTCATTAAGGAGCCGAGTTTGGGGTGGGTTGTCGTACTCCATCGAGTCCGCAAAAATTCTAGTCATATGAAGTCAACTTCCGAACCGAGCACTGCTGTGTTCTTGCTGAGCATACGTTTGCATCACGGATGGTCCCATATTTGAGGCAACTCAGCTAAGTTCATCCTCTACTACTTTGCATGCGGATTCACTTTCAATCATAGCAGACACGCTTCGCAAGTCGCAAGTCACAAGTCACAAGTGTGTACATTCCGGAACAAGAGCAGCACTAAATACATGTTATAAGAGGCTAAGGAGAAAGTGGGACTTTCAGTGGGAGCCCGATGAAGATGACGCACTGGGGTGGGTCAACGTTGCCATCTCGGGCACAGTTGGTCTGTCTGTTGACTGGTTGAGTACTCTGCAGGGTTCTACAGCAGAGTCTGGTTGCGACCTGAGAGCCCACGAAAGGTTCAAGCTGGCACAATGCACCTACGCTGTCCCGCTGAGGTTGACACCAACTTGACAGGAAAGATGCGGACGGCTCGTCCTAGACGCACTACGGCCTTGAAACGTTCTTACCCCTCGAAAGGTCACAGCAGTGCTAATGTTCAAATATCTATATAATGTGCCATAGTCTACACCTTTCCTATCCGTTCATCGTCAAGCTTACTCTCAATATTATCACGTTCACTCTAAAATCCATATCATTCGTCGTTCTCGGTGTCATTGTAGTCGCTGTAGGATTAAGATCTGTCCAACGAATGTACTCGTTTTTGTTTCACCTCACTGGTGCCTTGACGCCCTTGGACATGATAGGCACTTACTCCTGAGGACGAGCTAAGAGACTGTCAGGATAAAATGATCAGTTGACTCCGGTCCCAAAAGCCAGCCCAGACAGGCGAACCGCTGTGCGACCGAAAAGCTCCTCGCTGTGGCAACGAAAAGCAATGCCAGCCGGCTGGCGGCTTCCTTTGTCTAGACTCTGCCAACAATGACAAACTGATTCAGTAAGTGTCATACCTCGACTGCGCTTGAAACCGCACTCTGCGCAGTTCTGACAAAATCACCTTCCTCCATTCTGGATATGAATGCATTTACGTCCTTGCTGGAGGATCGTCTGTAAAGACTGGTGATGAGACCTAGAAGGACAGTGACTACAGCAAGCGAGACTTTGCTCTTGATCGCACCAAGTGTAGTTGGCACGAACATGGGAAACAAGTAGCTGTCTAGGCGCATGACAATTGCCTCCTAGTCATAGCTCGTCGCATCCAATTACATTGCTGCCCGCTTGTGAGAACGACAGGTTCCTTCTGGATATGGCAAAGCTGGTATGTACGCAATTACTGTAACAATGCTCTTCGCACCCTCGTTTTGTTGAAACGTTCCCCAGTGAGGGGTAAGATTAAATTGGTAATGCATTGTGTTGTACCGGTCATGTGCTGCGAGCTCTGGAGTGAGCATTGATCCACCTCATAGACCGACGGGGACAGACTACCACCATTTGGCGTTCAGCCCACTCCGTCACAAGCGTTAGCAATTCGCTACAGATCGCCACATTTTAGCTGTGCTCCCGCTCGGTGCCACTGCTCTGTGGGACTTGTAGGAGGGCATGTCTTCTCAGTTGAAGTCATTCGTCAGTGCGTTGAAGTCATTCGTCAGTGGTTGGAGTTGAGGCGTCTTGTTGATGATGATAAGAGAGAGAGAGAGAGCGAGAGAGCGAGGGGTCTATATATATATACAAAAGAAGAGCAGCAGAGAGCCGCATTAACTGCGGAACATAACAAAGCATTTTGTCTTGAGTAGGTTGTGACACATGTGGTCCGTGCTCAGATGCTCAGGCCTTTTACTCGGCCGTAAGCGCTACCCTCACTGTCTCTACGCTTTGTGTGGCCTTATCTACTTCAACTCCCCCCCTCAACAGCATATGTACCCTGTTCATTATGCTGTTGTTTCAAGGTGTGACCTCCGTTCTTCAACACTGTCGCATAGCTCGGGGACCCCATTTCGTACACTGATGCCGGTATTCACAGGTGTAGCCCAGATCTTGCTTGCTGCATTGCCTGTCTCCCAATGGGCTTTGTGAGTACGTCTGCCAAGTTTCTCGTGGTGTCTACATACTTGATCTGCACCCTTCCCTCTTGAACATTGTTACGGATGAAGTGATACTTGGTGTCGATGTGCTTAAGCTTCCAGTGCTGTGCTGGGTCCTTACTAACCTGTATGCAACCAGTGTTGTCCGAGTAGACCGTCGGTGTGCCTGTGGCAATGCCAATTGAGCATAGCAGCTGCTTGAGGAAGAGCACCTCATGTGTTGCTTCCGTGGCTGCAATGAACTCTGCCTCGACAGTGGACAATGACACGCATTTTTGTGTCACTGACTTCCAGGCTACTGGGTTCCCATACACTAATGCCACTGACCCCGATGTACTCCTTCTCTGTATGGTGGCATCACTTGCCCAGTTTGCATTGCTGTGTGCGACCAGTGGCTCTTGCGACTCACTTGCCCTATAAACCAATCCAACCTGCCTTGTGCTTTCGAGGTAGCGTAAGACCCTTTGTGCTGCCTGATAATGCTCCTGTGATGGTTCACGCATGTGCCTAGCGAGAACACCCACGGTAAGGCTAAGGTCGGGCTGGGTGCTGTTGGCAACCCAGAGCAGCTTGCCAACAATCACCGGATACTCCTTCTGTTGTGCTGCGCTTGCGACAAGGGTTCCCTCCGGTATGCTCTGCATTGGAACCATGGTCGGCTTTGTACGTTTGTCCAGGTGCTTTGCCAGCACTTGGTCAATGTACCCTGACTGACCAATCGTCATGGTGCGCATCGCACAGTCTCGACTGATTTTGATGCCCAGGAAGTGAGAGACCTCACCGCTATCTTCCATCTTCCATCTCTGGCCAATCTGCTTCTTAACCTTTAGGACCATTTCCAGCCGTGGTGCTATGACTAATGTATCATCGACATAGATGACCACAATTGCCATATCTTCACCCTGTCCCTTGGTGTAGATACAGGGAGCGCACTCTACCTGGAAGAATCCCATGCGTCGCAAAGACCTGTCGAACTCCTGATTCCATTCTCGTCCAGACTGCTTTAGGCCGTATAGACCCTTGATTACCTTGTACACCTTGCTGGGTGCTACTCCTGATCCTTCTGGCAGCTTCATGTAGATTGCTTCCTTTAACATGGAGTTCAAGTAAGCCATAGTGATGTCCAGAGCATGTACCTCCCAGTTGTTCTGCACTGCTAGTGCTAAGATGGCTCTGATCGCTCCGAGGGGTGCTACTGGAGAGAAGGTTTCTTGGTAGTCGATCCCCTCTCTCTGTGTGAAGCCCCTTGCAACCAGTCGCGCCTTGTGCTTAACAGGTACACCATCAGCATCAAGCTTCAGCCGAAGCACATCCTTAGAGTCCACAAGTGGTACTCCTGGCGGTTGGTGCACCACCTCCCAAGTCCCCATTGCCTCGAGTCCTTCTAGCTCCTTTCGTATTGCTTCCTTCCAGAGCTGGGCGTCCTCACCATCCATTGCTTCCCCAAGCGTTGGGTCCAGGTTCAGTATTGCTGTGTTGGCGGCACCTACTGTGCTGTCTTCGGCTGGTAGGAGATCCTCCACTGCGGCCTCTGATTTGGTCTCCTCCTCCACTATGGCTGGCATGACACCCTCCTCCTCGACCTCCGCGGTCACCATGGGCCTGACTGCCTCTTGTTGGCGATCACTCCATCCTTTATCCTCATGAAATGTTGCTGAGTTGCTCCATTGGATTGACGCCGGCTGGTCCGGGTTGCAAAACTTCCATGCTTTGTGTTCGTCGTCATACCCAATCATGATGGCTGGCTTTGCTCTAGCCCCATACTTGCCTTGCTGGTCCTTCTGTTGAACATGAACCCATGCCAAGCATCCGAAGACTCGCAGCTGCTGGGCCAGCTTGTGCACAGTGGTTCCATAAAAGGCCTCGTGGGGAATGGTTTTGGTGGCTTACGGGGTAAGGTTCATCACGTGTGCTGCTGCTGTGATTGCATACGGCCACAACTCTCTGGGGCAAGCTCGACCAATCAGCATCGAGCACATCTTTTCTTGGACCGACCTGATTGCTCTCTCTGCCCGTCCATTTTGGACGCTGATCCCCGGGACACTCTTTTGCCACTTGAAACCCTCTTGAGTTTGCCAGTCTTCGGCTGCTATGCTGCACCATTCTCCTCCATTGTCGCTGCGGAGTGTTTTGAGTTTCCTGCCCGTTGCCCGTTCCATCCTGGCTATCCACCTCCTCAGCGCTGTGAGTGCAGCACTCTTTGTGCAGAGTGGTTCCACATAGATCAGGGAGGAGAAGTCGTCCACAGCAACTAGTGCGTAGTGGTAGTTGGCATGTCCTTTGAAATCTGTCATCAGGTCTACGTGTACCAGCTCTAATGGTGCCTCCATTCTTTCCAACTCTGATTGGCTCATCCGTGCTCGAGTCTGTTTTCCTTGGCTGCATGCATTACAGTGCTTCGACTCATGTTCCATTTCCTCGTCGGTACCTAGGTAATGAGCCTGGATTTGTCTCGTTTTGTCTCGTCCTGGGTGTCCGAACCTCTCATGCCATAGGTAGCTGTCTTGATGCTTCGTGTCCTTATTGCCCTCTGGGGCATTATCTAGTTTTCCTGTGTTCTGGTTGTCCTCTGGGACGTCGTCAAGTGTCTCTTCCAACTCCAGGGCTAGTGCCTTTCCCTGTACTTCGAACCACCCTTTTCTTCTGTTCCTCTTGTATTGTATTCATGTACCGTCATTTTGCTTAATGATGGTTCCAAACTCATCAAAAGTTACCCGTGCACCATTCTCGATCAAGCCTTGTACTGATAATAAATTAGAATTAAGTTTCGGCACATAGAGCACATCCAATAGTTGAATGGTTACATCGCCAACCCGAAGGGAGGCATCTCCTATGGCCTTCACTTGAAGCCTTTCATTTCCAGCCGTACAGATCTGACCATCCTTGCGCATCGAGGTGAGCAGCATTCTTTCATCGTTTACCATGTGGTGCGTCGCACCCGAATCGATGATCCAGGTGTCCGATGTTGGTTGCTCATTCCCGCCGATCGCTAGGAGGGTGCACCCGAGTTCCTATCGACTCGCTTCTTGTGCTGGATTGGGGGTGGGTCCGTCTCTACTAGGTGCGGGGTTATTGTTGGTGTTTGTGCAGTTTCGAGCAATGTGATTAGGTCCTCCACAAGCGTAGCACTTTGGAGGGGCCGAGGGGTTGCGAGGATCGCGCCTGCCTCTGGGTCCTTGCTCCGCCTGGTCCATGCTTGTGGCAACCCTTGCTGCTCCTCTAATATGGCCAGTGACCTCACCATCCTGCTGTTTCTTGGTGAGTGCGTGGTAGGCTTCGTCATACTTACAGTCTGGTCTGGCCGTTTTCAGTGTGTCGATGGCATTGGCATAGAACCAATCTTGGGCCGTGCAGTGATAGAGAGTTGATTTCTTGAGGTCCTCGTCGAAACACTTTCCCAGGCGTGCCGCATCGTTCCAGATCAAATCGAGTTCCTTGCCTAGCCTGACAATGTCTCGATTGTGCAAGCACACTGTGTGAATACGATCCTGCAGTCCTGCTCGCTTTACAGCATCGTTCAACGTTAGTGCCTTCGTGAGTTTGGCATAGAGTGTGCTACCGAGCTGGACTTCTTCATCCACTCCCCTGACGGTGTAGGTGTCGATATGGCTGTCTGGACTGTTGTCACAGCAGGCGTGGATGAGGCCCACAAGGGCTTTATCCAAGTCTTCATCGTATTCCTCGTTTCCAGGCACTACCGTGCCATACAGTATCTCCTTCGCATTATGTACTCTTTGGAGGCACTCGATGAAGGTAGGTTCCCAAGTGTGCCAGTTGCTGTCGCTGAGCTTCTTGATGTGTGCAATGGCGCTCGACACCTCCTTGGGGATCTTCTTGGTTTCCCTGCGCGGGGTCTGGTTGCTAATGCTGATGAGACCCATAGCTCGTACGATTGCTTCCTCGGCCGTTAGTGCTGGGTTCGCCAGCTGGAGGATCCTGACTACCTGCGTGAGCCATCCTTCCTCCTGTCCATTGCCTGTGGTCGTTTGATCATCATCGCCCCTTCCCGTCTGTCCAGCTCTTGTCGATGGCGGCATTGCGTTGAGTTTCAGACTCTTAATCAGTTGAAGTCATTCATCAGTGCGTTGAAGTCATTCGTCAGTGGTTGGAGTTGAGGCGTCTTGTTGATGATGATAAGAGAGAGAGAGAGAGCGAGAGAGCGAGGGGTCTATATATATATACAAAAGAAGAGCGGCAGAGAGCCGCATTAACTGTGGAACATAACAAAGCATTTTGTCTTGAGTAGGTTGTGACACATGTGGTCCGTGCTCAGATGCTCAGGCCTTTTACTCGGCCGTAAGCGCTACCCTCACTGTCTCTACGCTTTGTGTGGCCTTATCTACTTCAACTTTCTCGCCATGCCGAATCGCCAGTCGCAAATTCAAATGTCCTAACCCTGACAAACCTCATTCCAATATTCTGTAGGTATGTCACGTCTGAGCACTCTCTCGTGCGAATACTAGTCGCACGGGAATGCTCCATCGATACTTCTCGGCCGAATACACGTCACACAAGAAGTTCGATAATATCTTGCAAAACCTTGCTTGTATGGAAGCTAGTACTTAAACTGGCTTCCATCTAGATCTCCTCTTCCTGAAATCCATCTACTTCCACTGTTACAATGTGCATATAGCCTGCACATGTAACATTGGTAGCACTCATAAGTTCTCTTGACAGCAACAACACCTTTGACTTGACCATGGTCAATCACCTCAAGCAACATAACACCACATTATGTTACACATGCTTGAGGCGGGTCCTTGTTGCCACCTCTAGAAAACCCTGATCATCCTGAGGGGTTGTCCTATGATTGAGTGTCATCAAGCACTGATAATTCCCCTCAGGGTACTCCTGCTACTTCGATTGTCCCCAGTATGCCTGATGCCAACATGTCGCCATCTAACAGCACACATGCATCCATGCCCACTACAGCACATACTGCCACCACGGGCGCTGAATACAAGGACCCTTGTCACAGGACCTGCGCAGGAGATCGGGTTGGTGCAGGTAGATCTGAGATGAAGATGAAGATGTGGTGTGCCCAGAAAAAGGCACATGAAATGTGACATCAACCATAAGATGGGTTTCCAGTTGATTTCAGGGAAATCAACCATGACAGGGGTTTCTGATTGGTTTCACTGAAAATGAACAAAACATGCTCATCAGGTTGGTTTCACCAAAACATGTTGCACAAAGTGCCATCAGTACAGAATGGACCAACAGGATACAAGAAGGCAACAGGAAACTTGGTAGGGAAGACCTCCATTGTCAAAGGTGGGATAGGGCACAAGGGAAGGTCTCACATGCTACAAGGGTCCAAGTTTAGCCAAGAAGAGGACCAAGCTCAGGAGCAAGCAGCAGGTTACCACACAAGGGGGACATGCTCTTGATTTCATAAGGGTTGGTCACAAGGTAGACCACATGGATGAGAACAAGACAATAGGATGGTCACATGGTCAGACAGGCCCATCAGATAGGGGCCAAGGAAAGACCATGGATTGAGGGGAGAGGGAGTCAGACCAAGGGGACCAATATTGGTACCATGAGGAGGATGGGCAGTGTTGAGAAGAGTCAATACACAGCCAAGGAAAGGAGGAGTAGGAGTGGTGCCACAGGTGGCACCTCTCAAAACACATAAATACTACTACTACTTCACCATAGCAAATGAGTGGATCCTCATCCACTCTACTCTTTATCTTACTACTCTTTACTTGACTCATATCATTGCAATAGCATAGCTTTGCAATGACATCTCAAATGTGTGTGTTGTATCACCATTGGATGTCAAAACTGTAGGCAGTGTTCCTCAACACCTGCAGTCCAGTTCATCACTGTAGGCAATGTTGCTCAACATCTGTGGTCCAGTCAGTTATTGTAGGTGGTTGTCATGGGCTTGACTGCGCAGGAAGCAGGAAGACCTGACAGTTCATATGAAGGTAGCACGGGAATCGAGGGATTGGGTAGATTGGTGGATTTACAGAAGAATTCAGTGAGATTGGTAGTAGACATGGTTCTATGACAGATCCCATCAGGATCTGCCTGAACAAAGTTGATATCACAGTTCCTACCAGAATCTGCAGTAAGTATGATAGTATGGCAGATCTCACAGAGATCAGTGACAATGACATTCATATGACAGTTTCACATGTGAGAGGGACTATGCTCACAAGCAAGGAGGATCAAGCACTGCCAAGACAGGGACTGAGCTCACAAAGCATGCAGACAGTTACTGCTCAGGGGCTCAGGAGATATGCAGACAAGAGAACCATTGCCAGTTGAAGGAAGAGGAGCTGTGTGGCAGGCACTGGCGAACAGGTCATGAGGAGGAGGAGCAGTGTCAAGGGAGTCGACACAGCTCAGGAAGGACAGGAGTGACAAGTCTTGATGAGGGGGAGGAGTCTCAGTGGAGACTCTTGTACAGTACTTGGCAGCAAGGGTACTCTCTGGAGAGAGAGCTGGAGCAGTGTCACTGGTGATGCTGTGAAGAGGTTGTCATGGGCCTGAGTGCGCAGGAAGCAGGAAGACCTGCTAGTTCATATGAAGGGAGTGCAGGAATCAGGGGATTGGGTGGATCATAGGATTTGTGGCAGAATTTGCCAAGATCTGCAGTAGAATCGGCTCTATGACAGATCTCAGTGAGATCAGTACAAACAAGGATGATATCACGAATTCTGATGAGATCAGTAGTAGGAGAGGTCATATAGTAGATTCCATGGAGATCAGTGACAAGGATGTTTGTACAATGAATTCACACATGCAGAGGACCAAGCTCACAGGCGAGGAGGACCAAGCTCTGCCAAGACGGGGACCAAGCTCAGTAAATTGCAGCTGGTTACCACTCAGGGGTTCACAAGATAGGAGTCAAGAGAACAGTCACCAGTTAGGAGGAAGGAGAACTGTGTCAAGGACACCAGCATATAGTTCATGAGGAGGAAGAGCTGTGTCAAGGAGGTCGACACGCAGCTCAAGAGGGACAGGAGTAGGGTTACAGGGACTCCTGCATAGCACTCGACGAAGGAGGTACTCTCTGGAGAGAGAGTTGGAGCAGTGGCACTGGCGGCACTGCAAAGAGGTATAAAGCCATACCTTCTCGTCACTAAGTGGTTGAGTGGATCCTCATCCACTCTACACTCATCAAACAAACTAGTATTACTTCAAGCAATAAGTATCATTAGTTCACAGTCAGTGTAGTAGTAATCAACAGATTGCTCCTCATCGAAGCGCATGTGTTGTATCACTGTTTCCTGACGTCCGAAGGCAGTTCGTAGCAAACCAGTGGTCCAGATAACAATAGAACCAAAGGCAGATGTCCACTGCAGCCTGGGGATCACTTCAAGCGTTAGCTGACACACTGGACACTCATGTCAGCATCATCAATCCATACTCACACCAGACCATTGGTGTCAACATCAAGTTCACTTAGAGTCATATCGTAGTTTGATCATGCTGAGCTACCTCTGGACAGAGTGTCCACAGTGGTCAGTCAAAATCTGTCATAACATCAATACAACTACAGATTCCAACGAGAAAAGCAGCAGAGACAGTTCTGTCGCATATTTCACTAGGAATCATAATACCACTAGCACTGTCGCATAACTTGACAGAATCGGTGATAGTACTGATACTACTACTGATCTCAGGTTTCAGGCACGCGACCACTGACAGAGGTATATAACCATACCTTCTTGTCACAAATGGTCAAGTGGATCCCCATCCACTCTACACACCATATAACTAGTATTACTTCAGAAGCATAAGTACTCATTAGTTTCAGTCAGCATAGGCACAATCAAATAGATTGCCTCTCATTGTAGCATGTGTGTTGTATCACCACTCACTGACATCCAAAGGCAGTTCATAGTAAACCAGCAGTCCAGATTAGATAGAACTGAAGGCAGTTGTCCACTGTGGTCTGGGGATCACCTCAAGTGATAGTCAACACACTGGACACTTGTGTCAATGCCACCAAGTATCATACTCACACCAGACCTTTGGTGTCATCATCAAGTTCACCAACAATGTATAGTTATTGATCATGCCAAGCTACCTCTGGATGGAGTGTCCACAGCAGTTAGTTGAAATCTGCAATAGCATTACTACAACTACAGATTCAAATGAGAAAAGTGATAGAGGCAGCTCTATTGCATATTTCACTAAGAACCGAAATACCACTAGCATTGTCGCATAACTCGACAGAATCGGTAATAGTATCGATACTACTACCGATCTCAGGTTTCAGGCGCACAACCGCTGACAGTATGCTTATGGCAAAGTGATAGTATTTATGTGTTTGGAGGTGCCACCTGTGGCACTGCTCCTACTCCTCTGGAGGAGTGTCTCTGTCCTCCTCATACTCCTCCTTTCCTTGGCTGTGTGTTGATCTTCTTGACACTGCCCATCCTCCTCATGGTACCGATGCCAGTCCCCTTGGCCTGGCTCCTTCTCCTCTCAATCCATGGCCATTCCCTTGGCCCCTATCTGATGGCCCTCCCTGACCATGTGACCATCCTTATTGTCCCGCTCCCATCCATGCGATCTGTCAGCAGCCACATGCCCAAAACCTGATATCTGTAATAGAGTTGCATCTATTACAAATCCTGTCGAGTTATGCAACAATGCTTGTGGTATTACATTTCTCAGCAAAATATGTAGTAGAGCTGTCTCTATCACTTTTCTCACTCGGAACTATAGTAATGGTTTTGCTATTGCAGATTTCGACTGACTGCTGTGAACACTCCATCCAGAGGTAGCTCAGCATGATCAATAACTGATATGAACTGGTGCTGACACCAATGTCTGGTGTGAGTGATTTGATTGGTGATGCCAACACAAGTGTCCAGTGTGTCAACTGTATGCTTGAGGTGATCCCCAGACTGCAGTGGATGACTGCCTTCAGTTCTATCTTTATCTGGACTGCAGGTTTGCTAGGAACTGCCTTTGGACATCAGTGAGCAGTGATACAACACATGTGCTACAATGGAAGCAACCTACTTGATTGTGACTGTGCTGACTTAAACTAATGTATACTTATGCTGAAGTGATAACTAGTTATGTATGGTGTAGAGTGGATGAGGATCCACTTGTCCACCTATGACAAGAAAGGATGCTTATATACATCATTGCAGTGTTGCCTGTGACACTGCTCCAGCTCTCTCTCTCCAGAGAGTGGCCTCCTCATCAAGTACTGTGCAGGAGTCCCTGCAACATTGCTTCTGTCCTTCTTGAGCTGTGTGTTGACCTCTTTGGCACAGCTCTTCCTCCTCATGACCTATATGCTGGTGTCACTGACACAGCTCTCCTTCCTCCTAACCAGCAACTGTTCTCCTGACTCTCATCTTGTGAACCCCTGAGTGGCAACCAGCTGCATGCTTCTGGACTTGGACCCCATCTTGGCAGAGCTTGGTCCTCCTTGCATGTGAAATCATCAAATGATCATCCTTGCCACTGATCTCCACAAAATCTGCCACATGATCTCTTCTACTACTGATCTCAGTGGAATTTGTAATACTATCCTTGTTCATGCAGATCTTGCTGGGATCTGTCATAGAACCATTTCTACCCCAGATCTCAATGAAATCTGCTGCAAATCCCACAATCTGCCCAATTCCATGATTCCTGCACTCCCTTCATATGAGTTGACAGATCTTCTTACTTCTTGTGCATCCAGGCCCATGACACGATCTACCTTGTGGCTGGTCCTACGCAATCGAGAGCTTATGTAACAGGCAACTATGTGGGTGAACCAAAAGTCGATAGTGACCATTTCCAAGTTGCCATGCCTGGCAAATGCAGATTCGACCAACGTTCACGCGAGTTCATCTGCGCGGTGGATGGAGTGAGTCCCCAGGAGAGGCAAGCCTTGATCGATCATCCCTCACAAATTTGGCCCTGATAGTCTCTTTTACCGTCTTACGCCCCCTCTTTCAGGCGGGACTAGATGATTCGCAAAGAATACAATGGATCGCTGATTATGGCAAGTTGAGATGATCAGCGCTACTTCCACTGAGACCGCTCAGAGATGAATGAATGACTAGAAACAAAAAATATGACTTAGGAAGGACGAGGAGGTCGATTCTGGTTAAGCATGCTCAGAAGCTGATGCATGGACTGCTGTCCATTGTCCTGACCCGAACCCGAAGCGGAAGTGTTCGAGGTAGGGGGAGACTGAGGCTTGGGTGGGCCTGTGGGCTTGGGAGCACCAGCAGCAGATTGGAGAAGCGCAGCGATGTTGGCTGGCAGTGCCGGTGCACCTGCCGGAGGTGGGCTCTGAGCAGGTGGGCTTGACGCAGAAGGAGCAGGGGGAGTGGAAGTTGCTGCTGCTGCGGCAGGAGGTTTGGAGGCGGCGCCAAGGGACGCAAGCAGCTGCTGCACCTTCTGAGCTTGTTCGAGTCGGTTTGCGTCTCCGGCTGCTGGAGGTTGAGCTGCAGCTGCGTCAGGTTTCGAGGCAGGACCAGAGCCAGAGCCTGCACGTCTACCCCATCCATTGTCGACCGGAGCTCCGGTGGCTGGAATGGGAGCACGACCATAGCCGAGGGAGGGTGAACGAGAGGAGCCTGGTGCATCGTAGCTTGGATAATCTGTGGGGAGAGGAGCTCGGTCTCCAGCGGGTGGAGGCCTGCCCCAGCTAGACTGAGGAGGAGGAGGAGGAGGAGGACCAGCTTGGTAACCTGAACCAGCTCCCTGTTGTGGTTGCTTTGCCCACTCAAGATCCTCATCCGTCACCACGTCCCAAGCAAATTTGAGGTCCCATTGACCATCGAGATACGGTCGACCGTTGAGCTGATCGTGAGCAAGTTGGCAAGCGCGGCTGTCAAAGTACTCGACAAAGCGGCTGTTCTTCTGACCTGGATAATCACGCACCTTCTTGACATCACCAAATTCGGAAAAGACCTCGTGAACGGCGTCGTCGCTTAGAGTCTCGTTGGCGCCTTTGAGAACACTGAAGAGGGTACCCTGATTCTTGTCGCGGTCACATCGTTGAGCCTTGTCCTCCTCACGTGGAAGAGAGTAATGGATGTTGATTGGACGACCACCAAAGGGAGCACCCTTCATGGCGAGCATGGCGTCCCGAGCGGCTCGAAGATCATAGTAGGTGATGAAGGCAATACCACGCTTTTCAACCATGTCGAAGAAGGTCTTGATCTCGCCGAATTTCTCGAACTGCTGCTTGACGAATTCGGAGTCGGTTTCGAAGTTGATACTGCGAACGAAGAGGGTACGACAAGGCTTTTCGTCATCGTCAAATCTGCCGCCACCACCGCCAAATCCACCTCCGCGACCGCCACGACCTCCTCCACGTCCACTGCCGCGACCTCTGCCGCGACCCCGTTCTCCGAATCCGGGGGCGTCACCTGGGGGAGGACGGGGACGATCATACGATCCTGGCGGCGGGCCTGAACCATAAGGTGGTTGACCGAACGAAGGGGTTGGGCCGTAAACTTGGCCGTCATAGCCGGCGGGAGGTGGACCGGGAGGTGCACCAGGGCCGCCATTATAATCGTAAGCAGGAGCTGATCCATAAGGAGGCTGACTAGGGGCGGGAGGCATAGCAGATTGTTCGTAGGGGTTGGGTGCATTGTAGGGGGAGGGTTCATATGAGGCAGGAGTGTATCCGTAAGATGGAGGAGAGCCCATGCTGCCGCCAGGAGGGGGAGGAGGGGGTCGAGAAGCAGGGGGACCACCACGAGCACTCATACCGCCTCTTGGGGGACCACCGCTCATGGACATGGGATAATGACGATCTAGGCCACCGGAGAACTCATTGGATGGGGCGTAAGCGTTCTGAGGCTGGTAAGCTGCGTTGTTGCCATCATTCATGTTTGGAGCGCCGGGACGGTAAGCAGCTTGAGCGGAAGGATAACCAGAAGGAGGGGGGCTCAAGCCAGCAGAACGGGGAGGGCGACCGCGCATGGATGGATTGCCGCCGCCGCGACCACCGCGAGTGGGCCTCTCATCGTAGCCACCGTAGGGATGATGGCGATTCATGACTCAAGCACGAAAAGTTGATCGCGAAAGGGGTGCGAGCTGCTGTGCAGTTTCCGAGTGTTCAAGGAATAGACCGAAGAAAGGTGTGAAGAGAGGGCCAAAGTAGCAGAGCTCAGAGGCAATTGCAGCTCAAAGGGCTCAATGGCTCACCCAGCGACAAGAGAGAGCGAAGCGAGTGTCTCAGAGGACCGAGAAAGTCTCAGAGAGCGTTTGATTTGGTGTTCCGTTCAGAAGGGGAGGGGGGGCCGGGGGTCTTGTAACGTCGAATATTGCTGTGGATGTTCTCAGGTGCAACGAGTGGCTCAGATAATGTGCTACCTTGAGCAGTGACTTGAGTATAGTCGGAGAAGAGAAGGAAGGAAGGAATGACGAAGGTTGTGGACGCGAGATGAAATGGATATCCAGACTTAGGGGGATGGTGATGGTAGGAAATGGAGCGTACAAACAGCTACTCCGATGGCGCTTCATTTCCATCAAAGAATTTTTTTCTTGTTTTGGCGACGATTTCCAGTCTGGTCGCGACTGGGCGGAAAGCTCTCACCCGGATTCACGGAAATCGGATAAGGAAGCTCTGCTGCTTTTTGGCTTGACGAGAAGAAGAGAGTTGAAGATGCGTCGGCATCCCAATGGGATTTACGGGGTCTGTGGAGCATCACGGGGTCCACAGAACATAAGCGAGTCAACAATGAAGCAAAGCCACATATAGGTGGCAATGCATGTGGGATGCATAGGAGTTGTCATGATAATGCACAGGAGACAACAACTCAGGAGTAGGACAAGGAGTGACTCATCATGCATTGGCACATGTTGAAGGTGATTACTAAGTATATATATGACTATGTATGTAGCATCCCATTGATACAAATATACACATGCATTCAAGAAGTTATATGCCTGTTGATGAGAGCTTGCTAGTAGCTCCAATCAGTTGCATTGTACTTGCAATTCTCAACTGATTAAGAGTCTGATGCTCTACCGACTAAACTAGCTGGAGTTGCTAACAACCATGGTAGAAGAAACTGAAACTCAACCTGCTAAGGCCAAAGGAGGCAGAAAGGGGAAGGCCACCCAAATGCGAGTCATCGACAATGAGGCCACCAACAAAACAGAGACCAATGATGCAAATGAAGAAACCGATTCTGACTCCGATCTAGATAATGGTGGCAAACAGTACAACTTCCATATGTTGGCAAAACTCCTCGAGCCAGTGCCCAAGCTCATGTCGCACAACTACTACAGTTGGAGTGTGTCAGAGGTCGCGTGCCTGAAACCTGAGATCAGTAGTTGTATCAATACTATTACCAATTCTGTCAAGTTATGCAACAGTGCTTGTGGTATTGCAATTCTTCACGAGATATGCAGTAGAGCCATCTCTATTACTTTTCTCACTCGAATCTGTAGTTGTGATGATGCTATTGCAGATTTCAACTGACCACTGTCAGACACTCCATTCAGAGGTAGCTTGGCATGATCAATAACTATGTGAACTTGCTGATGACACCAAAGGTCTGGTGTGAATATGGATTGGTGGTGTTGACACAGGTGTCCAGTGTGTCAACTATGCTTGAGGTGATCCCTGGACTGCAGTGGATGACTGCCTTTGGTTCTATCTAATCTGGACTGCTGGTTTACTATGAACTGCCTTTGGATGTCAGTGAGTGGTGATACAACACACATGCTACAATGAGAGGCAATCTATTTGATTGTGCCTATGCTGACTGAAACTAATGAGTACTTATGCTTCTGAAGTAATACTAGTTATATGGTGTGTAGAGTGGATGGGGATCCACTTGACCATTTGTGACAAGAAGGTATGGTTATATACCTCTGTCAGCAGTTGTGTGCCTGAAACCTGAGATCAGTAGTAGTATCAGTACTATCACCGATTCGGTTGAGTTATGCGACAGTGCTAGTGGTATTATGATTCCTAGTGAAATATGTGACAGAACTGTCTCTGCTGCTTTTCTCATTGGAATCTGTAGTTGTATTGATGTTATGACAGATTTCGACTGACCACTGTGGACACTCCATCCAGAGGTAGCTCGGCATGATCAAACTATGATATGACTCTAAGTGAACTTGATGTTGACACCAATGGTCTGGTGTGAGTATGGATTGATGATGCTGACACGAGTGTCCAGTGTGTCAGCTAACGCTTGATGTGATCCCTGGACCACAGTGGACGACTGCCTTTGGTTCTATCGATATCCGGACTGCTGGTTTGCTAAGAACTGCCTTCAGATGTCAGGAAACAGTGATACAACACACATGCTTCAATGAGGAGCAATCTATTGATTGCAACTTAAGCTGACTGAAAACTAATGAGTACTTATGTTTCTAAAGTATTGACTAGTTGTATGGTGAGTAGAGTGGATGAGGATCCACTCAACCACTAGCAACGAGAAGGTATGGCTTTATACCTCTTCACAGTGGCACCAGCGCCACTGCTCCTGCTCTCCCTCCAGAGAGTACCTTCTGCATCGAGTACTTCACAGGAGTCTTCAATGAGACCCCTCTGTCAGGGGTCTCGCGCCTGAAACCTAGGTCAGTCTGTCGAGATACTTGGTGACTATCAAGTTGTGCGACAGCTATTGTCTCAGTATTGGTCTCGACAAGCTAGTTGTTTGGTGACTATCAAGTTGCATGATGACAGCAGGTGGCATTCGTTGTATATACTATTGTAGGTTTCAGCTGACCTCTGTGGACACTCCATTCAGGGGTAGCTTGGCATGATCAATATCATTGCATAGGTTATGATGACACCAAGGTCTGGTGTGAGTGTTGCTGATGATGAGGTTGATGGTGTTGGTGATAAGGTTGGTGGCATCAACACGAGTGTCCAGTGTGTTGACTTGATGCTTGAAGTGATCCCCAGACCGCAGTGGACTACTGCCTTTGGTTCTATCTATATCCAGACTGCTGGTTTGCTATGAACCACTTTCAGACATCAGGTAGTGGTGATACAACACATGCACTACAATGAGGAGCAACCTTGATAGATTGCTGCTATGCTGACTGAAACTAATATATACTTATGCTGAAGTGATAACTAGTTATGATGTGTGTAGAGTGGATGAGGATCCACTCAACCTTTGATGATGAGAAAGCATGGTTATATACCTCTTCACAGCGTCGCCAGCGATGCTGCTCCTGCTCTCTCTCTCCAGAGAGTACCTTCTTCATCGGGTACTGTTCAGGGGGCCTCTCCTGCTTGCTTGGCACCCCTGTGCCTCTTGAGCTGTGTCGACTCCTTCGACACTGCTCCTCCTCCTTGCTATCCTGCTTGTTTGGCACCCTTGTGCCTCCTGAGTGGTGTCGACTCCTTCGACACTGCTCCTCCTCCTCAGGACCTGGTGTCAACTCCTTCAACACTGCTCCTCCTCCTCAGGACCCACTTGCCGGTTCCCTATACACTGCTCCTTCTCCTTTGACTGGTGACAGCTCCATTGACTCTTGTCTCTCAAGCCCTTGAGTGGTAACCATCTGCATGCTCCTTGAGCTTGGTCCTCTTCATGGCTGTGCCTGGCCCTCCTCACATATGGGCTCAGTCCTCCTTTGCATGTGAGTCTGTAGGAGTCCATGGTCTCCATGGAGACTGCACTACGACCATGCTCTCTAATGGTATCGACTAGATCTTTGATACCTGTGCTCCTTCCATATGAACCAGTGACCCTCCTGCTTCTTGAGCATTCAGGCCCATGACACTACACCCCTCTTAAGAGCCGAGCTTCATTGAGGCATGCTCTGGTCTGGTTCATGCTGACTCCTCCTCCTCCTCCTGCTCAACAACATCGCCAACATCGCCCTTCCTCCTTCTCTCTCTACTCCTCCTGTTCTCTCCTCCTCTCTCTACTCTGTCTACTCGCTCGTCCCCCCTCCGATACCTCATACTCCTGGATGAGGTCGGGGCAATTGAGGTTCTCTACTGGTTCCCATGAAGCAGCTTCTTCTGAGTACCCTCTCCACAACACTTTGTACTCTGCAGTCCCATTGTGTGAATGCTTGTCGATGAGTGCTTCAACTTCGAAATCAAGGTCCTCATCAGGAAGTGATGGTATGGTGGGCTGTTCAGCTCGTTGAGGAAGAGAAATTGTTCTTGCTGGTTTGAGCATGGAGACATGGAACACATCATGCACCCTAAGGTTTGCTGGCAATGTGATTCGATAAGCTTGGCATCCTACCCTTTCCTGAACTGGGTAGGGTCCTGCAAACTGAGTATCTAACTTGGGTGTGGGTCTCCTTGTCTTCCAGTTTCAACAGTTGATATAGACCATATCACCCACCTTGAACTCGATGTCCTTGTGCTTCCTGTTATACTGGTCTACTGATCTACATTGTGCCTCTCTGATCTGCTCCTGGAGGTACTTGCAATGCTCCTTCCCATCCATGAGGTACTCGAAGCGACCTGGGTCATTGACTCCCAACCATTGAGGGATATCAGGATGAGCTTTGGGGTTCCATCCATAGCATGCAAAGAATGGTGAGACACCAATGCTGTTGTGGACTGTGTTGTTGTATGCAAAGGCTGCAGTGTCCAGCAGGTTGGCCCAGTCATTCTGCTCATAGTTGCAGTACATCCTTAGGTATTGCTCCATGACCTGATTGACCCTCTCTGTCTGACCATCAGTTTGAGGATGGTAAGCTGTGCTAAGTGAGTGCTTCACACCCATTTGTTCTGCGAATGCCTTCCATGCTCCTGATATGAACTGCCTGCCTTGGTCCAAGACCATGTGATCTGGATATCCAAAAAGTCTAACCATGTGTCTGTGTAGCAACACTGCAGTCTGTTTGGCCATGACTGTCTTATGGGTTGGAGCTAGTATGGCAAACTTGGTCAGCCTGTCAACAATGACGAGGATGGAGTCATAGTTCCTTGATGGTGGTAATCCTTTGATGAAGTCGAGGGATTTGGAGCCCCAGGGCCTGTCTGGTGTTGCTAGTGGCTGTAGCAAACCATATGAATGGTGACGAGGAGCTTTGTACCTAGCACATACAGGACAACTTGCTACATAGTCTGCAATCCAAGCTGTCATGTTTGGCCACCAGTAATGTCGTTGTGCTGCCTTGATGGTAGCATCTCTTCCTACGTGTCCAGCAGTGATACCATCATGGCATTGGGTCATCACCATGAATCGCAGATGCTCTACAGAGAGAGACTGTCCATCTACCTCTTTGGCACTCCTTGAGTGTCGGTTGTTGGTCCTCCCTGGCATGATCACTTTGGGGATAACCAACCTTCCTCCACTGTACCATAGGTCATCCCTGACCTCGAAGGGCTTCTTCCTATGTATCTCCTGTAGCTCTTGGTCTAAGGGCTGGAAGATCTGGACCAGGTCTTTGAGACCTTTTGATGCTATGGACTCCATCGAGATCATGGGGGCCACTAGGAGCGAGTCATGGACTGCTGTCTCCTTGAACACTCGAGGAGGCAGTAGTTGCCTCACATTGTGATCCTGCTCTTCACCGGCTGGCTGCATGTCTGTCCTTCTGGTGAGAGCATCGGGTTCACCACCTTTGTCTCCTGGTCGATACTGCAATATGAAGTCGAAGTCTGCTAGTAGTATTGCCCATCGAGCTTGTCGACCTGTGATGCGTCTCTGTGACTTGAAGTACTTGAGGGCTTCATGGTCAGTGAGGATGACCAGTTGGTTCGGTAGTCCAGCTAGCATGTGTCGCCACTGAGTGAGGCAGGCGACCACAGCTAGGAGCTCCTTATCATGGATCTCATAGTTCTTCTCGGCAGAAGACATCTTCCTAGAGTAGAAGGCCACTGGATGCCATCGTCCTTCATGCTCCTGCTTGAGTACTCCTGCTATAGCAAAGTCACTTGCATCAGTTTCCAACCTTGTTGAAAGGTGGTAGTTGAAGTGCTGGAGCACTCCTGCTGATGTGAATGCCTGGATGAGCTTGTGGAAAGCCTGCTGGGCCTCCTCTGGTAGCTCGAACTTCTTGAACCGTTCTATAGGCTTTACCAGTGATGTCAAGGGCTTGGCTATGTGAGCAAAGTGGGCTATGAACCTTCAGTAGAAGTTGGCAAAACCCAGGAACCTTTGGATGTCATGGATTGACTCTGGCATTGGCCACTCCTTGACAGTGCACACCTTTTCTGGGTCCATCTCTATGCCCATCAGCTTGATGATGTATCCCAGGAACTCGACTATCTTGGTGTGAAACTCACACTTCGACAGCTTAGCAAAGAGCCTGTTGCTCCTTAAGTGAGTGAGGACCTCGGTAACATGCTTCACATGTGCTGTCATGGGCCTAGGTGCGCAGAACGAGGAAAGACCGAAATCCATATGAAGGTAGTGCAGGAATCATGGAATCGGGTAGATTGGAGGAGCTGTGACAAAGTTCACCAAGATCAGTAGTAGAATCAGCTCTATGGCAGATCACAGCGAAATCAGCACGAGCATCATCAATATCACGAATCCCACCAGAACCTGCAGCAAGCAAGATCGTGTGGCAGATTCTGTGGGGATCGGTAGTAAGGATGTCCATATGACAATTCACATGCAAGAGGGACCGAGCTCAGTGACATGCGGTCAGTTACCACTCAGGGGCCCACAGGACAGGAGTAGAAGAGAACCATCGCTGGTCAAAGGAAGGAGATCTGTGTATGGGACACCGGTGAAAGGGACATGAAGAGGAGGAGCAGTGTCGATGAAGTCGACACAGCTCAGGAAAGACAGGAGGGACAAGGCTTGAAATGGAGAAGGTGCCTCCTTGGAGTTCCCTGTGCAGTACTCGATGAGGAGGGTACCCTCTGGAGAGAGGGAGCAGGGGCAGTGCCACTGGTGACGCTGCGAAGAGGTATATAGTCCTACCTCCTCATCACAAATGGTCGAGTGGAGGCTCATCCACTCTACACTCATCAACCGTACTAGTATTACTTCAAGCAATAAGTATCATTAGTACACAGCCAGCATAGAAGTAATCAACAGATTGCTCCTCAATGAAGCACATGTGTTGTATCACTGTTTCCTGGCATCCGAAGGTGGTTCGTAGCAACCAGCAGTCTGGATAACAATAGAACCAAAGGCAGTTGTCCACTGTGGCCTGGGGATCACTTCAAGCGTTAGCTGACACACTGGACACTCGTGTTGGCATCATCAACCCATACTCACACCAGACCATTGGTGTCAACATCAAGCTCATTTAGAGTCATATCGTAGTCTGATCGTGCCAAGCTACCTCTGGACAGAGTGTCCACAGTGGTTAGTCGAAATCTGTCACAATGATAATACAACTACAGATTCTAGCGAGAAAGGTGACAGAGAAGGCTCTGTCGCATATTTCACTAAGAATCGAAATACCATTAGCACTGTCACATAATTTGACAGAATCGGTGATAGTACTGATACTACTACTGTTCTCAGGTTTCAGGCATGCGACTGCTGACATTAGAGTGGATCATTCAAGCAGCACCCCACGATCACGATGACAGACCAAGGCCTCAACGATAAGCTCTACTGGCTCCTAGCACTATTGGAAGCCCAACTCGAGCTCACCAGGCAAGGCCAACGAGAAGAACGACTTCGCCGTGCTCATCTAAGCAGAGAAGAGACGATTGAGTTCTCACCATTGGGAGAACAGGTAGGAGGTGACGAATCCATGATAGGAGATCCTCAGACTCCTACACCAGCATCACGACCAAGACAATCGGTCTCGTTTGCTGCCGAAGATGAGCAAGACGACGTTAATTACGAAAAGTATGCATCGCCCACTGGGCCAAGGTACTACAAACCCAGGGAGGATCCATATAGCAGGACTAGGACAGAACCTTATGCCCCATACTCGGAGGAGGATACTAGTGTATTGGCGAACCTCTCTCGATCAAAGCCAATCGTCACACCCTTTCCTAAGTTTAACCCGCGAGATGTGGAGATATTCATTCTCAAAGCCGAAGCCTGGTTTAAGTTTAACCAGGTATATGAGCAAACAAGAATGATCAACCACATGGGCTCTCAATTGGAAGGGAATGCACAGGAGTGGTGGACCTCCAAACTCCGAATTGACAGGGCATGGGAAGGAAGGTTATTCAATGACTGGCACTACTTTACAGAGCGGCTGTCGGAACAATTCAATCCCCGGAATGCTAGAATGGAAGCCTACAACAAGCTGTTGGCTCTCAAACTCACTAGTGATGCACCCGGTGCCACCACATGCCATGTGGAACGTTTCAGAGACCTGGAAGGACAAGTCAATCTGGATGATAACGAACTCATCATTGACTTGTTCAGAGGCAGTCTCACACATAGTCTGCAAGAAAAGTTTGAGCATAACCCGCCTGCAAAGAGGTGGGGATGGTACTGAGAGGTCGAAGATATCGACCGTCAGAGGATGCTGCTACAGCAGTCCTCTGCTAGGCACTCAAGCGCTGCCCCTCCACGATTGAACCCAGGAATCCGACCAACGCCACCCGCTCAGAGTTCACTCCCCATTCAACAACCAGTACAAAGAAACTCCACTTGTATGCTGGCACCAATAATGGCAGGAAGCCTGAGCAGACCAACCAATTGGCTGCTCCCTCAGCAATATGTACTGGGCCCGAAACAAGGAGGCCCCACAGTACCAGGCAATAGCACTTGCCATATCTGCAAAGGCATTGGACATTGGGCCAGAGACTGTCCAAGCAAGAAGGCAGACCCTCTGGGACCACGACCTTCGGGCCCAAGAGTCATGGTAGCCACGGAAGATCCCTTTGAAGAAGGGGCCACCGACTCAGGGGATGGGCATACAGGCAGTGCTGAAACGAGTGACCCTGATGACCTAGACTTCAGTCATTACCAAGTTCCTAATGATGCTAATTGTCATGGGCCTGGATGCTCAAGAAGCAGGAGGGTCACTGGTTCATATGGACGGAGCACAGGTATCGAAGACCTAGCCGATACCAGTAGAGAGCATGGTCGCAGTGCAGTCTCCATGGAGACCATGGACTCCTATGGATTCACATGCAAAGGAGCACTGAGCCCATATGCGAGGAGGACCAGGCACAGCCACGAGGAGGACCAAGCTCAAAGAGCAGGCGCAGCCATGAGGAGGACCAAGCTCAGATGGTTACCACTCAGGGGCTCGAGAGACAGGAAGTCGACACAGGTCATGAGGAGGAGGAGCAGTGTCGAAGGAGTCGACACAGGTCATGAGGAGGAGGAGCAGTGTCGAAGGAGTCGACACCACTCAAGAGGCACAGGGGTGCCAAGCAGGAGAGGCCCCTGAGCAGTACTCGATGAAGAAAGTACTCTCTGGAGAGAGAGCAGGAGCAGCATCGCTGGCGATGCTGTGAAGAGGTATATAACCATGCTTTCTCATCATCATAGGTCGAGTGGATCCCCATCCACTCTACTCACCATACAACTAGTCAATACTTTAGAAACACAAGTACTCATTAGTTACAGTCAGCATAGCAGCAATCTATCAAGGTTGCTCCTCATCGTAGTGTGTGTGTTGTATCACCACTACCTGACGTCCGAAGGCGCCCATAGCAGGTTAGCGGTCCGGATATAGATAGAACCGAAGGCAGTAGTCCACTGCGGTCCGGGGATCACTTCAAAGCATCAAGTCAACACACTGGACACTCGTGTTGACGCCACCAACCTTATCACCAACACCATCAACCTCATTATCATTGACATCACCAATCTTATCATCAACACCATCAACCTCATTATCATCGACATCACCAATCTCATCACCAACACCATCAACCTCATCATCATCAACACCCACACCAGACCTTGGTGTCATCATAACATTGATATTGATCGTGCCGAGCTACCCCTGAACGGAGTGTCCACAGAGGTCAGCCGAAACCTACGATAGTATATACAACGAACGCCACCTGCTGTCACTGCACAACTTGATAGTCACCGATACCGAGACAATAGCTGTCACACAGTTTAATAGTCACCGAGTATCTCGACAGACCGACCTGGGTTTCAGGCGCGAGACCCCTGACACTAATCATGAGGAGCCCCAAGATGACGACGACGAGGGAAATGACAGTGGGGTGATGCACTGATGGCATGCATGGCCCTACAAACCTCCTCACCATCATTGTGTATATATCAAGATTGCCAAATATGTTTCTCCACCAGCAAAGGAAAAGCAGTATTAGAGCTTACAGGAATGGTCCAAGACCATCCTGCTCGTATACTCGCTGACACTGGTGCTGGCTTGTCCATAGTTTCAGATTCCTTTATCAGTAAGTACCTAATACCCACAAAACTCTCAAAAACAAGATCGATTCATGGTGTCACTGGACACCAGCTTGTCATCAATAGTGCCACAACCATACAGGTGGTTATTGGCAAGCACAGCCTAGGTGTAGTTGAAGTATCAGTAGCTGATACCACCAACTACGACCTTATATTGGGATTCACCGAGCTCAGAAGGCTCAAACCCACCATACGATGGGACACAGGCCAACTAGAGTTCAGGTCCCGGGACCGAAAATGACCCCCTGAAGCCGCCGCAACTAGGGGTTTACAATCAAAACCGTCGAAATCGGTCATAGTAGTGGAACTGCTGCAGAATTCGACGAAAGCCACCGCAACAGGTGAGCAAAAACAGGAGCTTGTCATAAGAGAAAGCTTATCACCGATTTCAACGAGATCTGTGGTAATGGGTTCCTACGAGGAAAAAATGGCTTGGCCAACCATGCATGGAAACGAGTTTGTCTCAGCAAAGCGCTTACTTCAGGCAGCTTTAGAGGATGGACCCATAGGGTTCATGTTATTGGAAGTACCACCCTCATCACTCCTGGCCTTCGGTTTTGTTCCTACCAGTGCCGACAAAGGAGTAGAGATGGAGGTTGAGATCGAGAACAAGGTGACGGCAACGGATATACCAAAGCCATACCAACACCTTTGTGATGTGTTCGACGAGGTGGAGGCAGACAGGCTTCCCCAGCATACCGAACATGATCTCCACCTTGAACTAATAGAAGGAAGTCGACCGCCTCAAGGCCCATTGTATCTCAAGGGGCCTAAAGAAATGTCTGAATTGAGGAAGTATCTGGACGAGAACCTCGCGAAGGGATTCATAGGACCGTCGAAGAGTCAAGCAAGGTCACCTGTGCTATTTGTACCTAAAAAAGACAGAGGTCTCAGGCTTTGTGTGGACTATTGGGGACTCAATGAGATTACTGTCAAGAACAGGGCTCCGTTGCCCCTCATCGAGGAGCAACTGTTCCTGCTCTGGAAGGCGAAGTTCTATTCCAAGCTAGATCTCCGAGCAGCATACAACCTCATTCGCATCGCGAAAGGAGATGAATGGAAAACAGCGTTTGGTACACAATTGGGACTATATGAGTACCTTGTGATGCCATTCGGGCTAGCAAATGCACCAGCTCATTTCCAATCATTCATCAATGTCATCTTCCAAGACATTATCAGAGTATATGTTGTGGTATACTTGGATGACTTCCTCATCTTCAGTGACACAGAGGAAGCACACATACGACATGTCACTGAAGTTCTCACCCATTTGAGAAACAATTGGCTGTTTGCTAAACTGTCAAAGTGTGAGTTCCACACCACGACAGTAGAGTTTCTAGGGTATATCATCAAACCCACAGGGGTAGAGATGGATCCTGAGAAAGTATGGACAGTCAAGGAGTGGCCAATGCTGGAATCAATCCATGATATCCAAAGATTCCTTGGCTTTGCCAACTTCTATAGGTGATTCATTGCTCACTTCGCTCGAATCGCCAAGCCACTAACATCACTGGTGAAACCGACAGAACATTTCAAGAAGTTTGAGTTGCCGGAAGAAGCTCAACAAGCTTTCCACAAACTCATCCAAGCATTCATGATGGCCGGAGTACTACAGCACTTCAATTACCACCTTCCTATGAGGCTGGAAACAGATGCAAGCGACTTTGCCATTGCTGGAGTGCTCAAACAAGAGCATGAAGGACGCTGGCACCTGGTAGCATTTTATTTGAGGAAGATGTCGTCAGCTGAGAAAAACTATGAGATCCATGACAAGGAGCTCCTAGCAGTGGTCACCTGCCTCACTCAGTGGTGACACATGCTAGCAGGACTTCCAAGTCAGTTAGTCATCCTCATGGATCACGAAGCACTCAAGTACTTTAAGTTGCAACATCGTATCACTGGCAGACAAGCAAGATGGGCAGTATTGTTAGCAGATCTCGACTTTGTGCTACAATATCGGCCAGGAGACAAGGGTGGCAAACCCGATGCTCTCACCAGACAAGCTGATATGCAGCCAGTCGGGGAAGAGCAGGAGCACAACATTCGACAACTACTGCCCCCCCAGGTGTTTGAACAAGTCGAAAACGAAATCGTGACAGGGAGTGAGTTGCAGCAGATTTCAGCTGAAAATGTAATAGCAAGCATGATATTGCCGATTTCAGCGGAATCGGTTCTAACAGCATGCTCAGGTGACGATTCCGTATTAGTGGCTCCCATCCTCACAATGGAGTCTATATCCATGAAAGGAATCAAAGATCTGGCAAGAATCTTCCAGCCTCTGGATCCCAAGCTGCAGGAGATTCACCTAAGGAAGCCATTCGAGATCAGGGATGACTTATGGTATAGTGGCAGACAGTTGGTTATCCCCAAGGTAACAATGCCAGGGAAGACCAATGACCATCGTTTGCGAAGCACCAAAGAAGTTGATGGGCAATTGTTGTCTGTAGAACATTTGCGATTCATGGTCATGTCTCAATGTCATGATGGCATCACAGCTGGACATGTGGGACGAGATGCTACCATTAAGTCAGCCCAATGACATTATTGGTGGCCAAACATGTCAGCCTGGATTGCTGATTATGTCGCAAGTTGCCAAGTGTGTGCCAGATATAAGGCTCCTTGCCATCGCCCATATGGCTTGCTGCAGCCACTCGCTACCCCGGACAGGCCATGGGGCTCAATATCCTTGGACTTCATTGAAGGATTACCACCCTCAAAGGGATATGATTCATTCCTGGTCATTGTCGACAGATTGACCAAGTTTGCTATTCTGGCCCCTACATACCAAATGGTCACAGCGAAACAGACTGCTGTGCTGCTATGGGGACACCTGGTTAGACACTTCGGTTATCCAGATCACATGGTCTCGGACCAAGGCAGGCAGTTTATCTCAGGAGCATGGAAAGCATTTGCCGATCAAATGGGTATGAAACATTCACTCAGCACTGCTTATCACCCTCAAACAGATGGGCAAACAGAAAGGGTCAACCAAGTAGTAGAGCAGTACCTTCGTATGTATTGCAACTATGAACAGAATGACTGGGCTAGCTTGCTCAACACTGCAGCATTTGTGTACAACAATACCATACACAATAGCATCGGTGTCTCGCCATTCTTTGCATGTTATGGATGGAACCCGAAAGCCCATCCTGACATTCCTCAACACCTAGGAGTGAATGACCCCGAACATTCTGAGTACTTGCTTGATGGCAAGGAGTGCTGCAAGTACCTCCAAGAACAGATTAGGGAAGCACAGCGCCGTACAGTGGACCATTATAACAGGAAACACAAAGACATTGAATTTAAGGTTGGTGACATGGTATACATCAATCGCAAGAACTGGAAGACCAGACAACCAACACCAAAGCTGGACACCAGGTTCGCAGGACCATATCCAGTTCAGGAAAGGGTAGGACATCAAGCCTATAGGATTACATTACCAGCAAACCTCCGAGTTCATGATGTGTTCCATGTGTCATTGCTCGAACCAGCTAGGAACAGTTCCATCCCTCAACAATCGACACAACCAATTGTACCACCACTACCAGATGAGGACCTTGACTTCGAAGTTGAAGCCATTACCAGCAAACGGTTACACAACAGGGTGACAGAATACAAAGTGCTTTGGAGGGGGTACCCAGAGGAGGCTGCCTCTTGGGAACTGTTGTCGCATCTCAACTGTCTGGACCTCATCCGGGAGTATGAGGTTTCAGCAGGGGGACGAAACTAACAAAAGCGAGGAAGAGGCGAAAGCGGTAAGGAAGGAGTTGGGATAGATTTGAGCGAAATCTGCAAGAGTAGAGGCACTATTACAGATTTCGTGGGAATCAGTAGTTGAAGTAGCGGTATGACAGCCTTTCACAACAAAACAGGAAGCAGTGGTTTTCTCACTCACATGAGAAACCAGAGATGAAGTAACCAATGAAACGAGGTCACAGGTATCACACAAGGGTCAGGACACAGGCTCAGAGTGATCACAAGGAAAACTACATTCAGGGTGCAACTATGTCACTATATGTCGACATAGCCAGAGGGGACAGAGGGAGTGGCAAGGGCCACACGAGTCCACCACTCGTCAATTGTAGGCTCCACCCATGAGTCGATGGGGTCAGGAGGACCACCAGATTCTGTCATGGACTCATGGGGTTGGCGCTCGGAAAACAAATGGTCATGACGCTCAACATAGGACTGGAGCATATGAAGGAGTGAGCTTACCAAGTCTTGACAGCAGAGGTGCCAAATCATGCACATCACTGACACCCAGTCTTGAGTCATGACTGGGTAAATTGTCCATTCCTGGGAACAAACAAGACCAGGGCCATTGCCATCAGCCACAGTCAGGTGAGCTCGCTCAGCCTGATGCGAGCCCCGCTGCTGCAAGCTGGGAGTCCCATCGCCAGGGTACTCCATGCCCGGGTGGGTGGGGATGGTATGCTCGCAATGCCCCAAGCCAGCTAGATAGCAATGGGTACAGGCACGAGGAATTCTGTTGCGCTCACCAAAAGGATTGGTGAAGGCAGAAGCAAAACAACTGAGAAAAGCAAAAGTAGTGTTAGCATTGGAAGGGTAGGAAGAGCATGAGGAATAGGAACTTACAGAATACCCAGATTGAAACACCATCGGCACTGCCAACTGGGCCAGGGCATGCAACCCTCAGTAAGACACAGCATGACCAACTGGTGTAGACGACACTCAGGCAAGGAGCCAGTGGGCACATCCCAGTCCAAAGGTAAGTACCAGTCAGCAATCTGAGCCATGAGCTCGGCCACAAAGAACCTCTCAGACCATCCGGCGATCTCTCCGTTTGTTGGTAGATGATGATTGGGAGGGGGAAGGGGAGGAGTCCGACGATCTACCCAGCGAGGAGGAGGGGTCAATGGCTGGACCTCCAGCTGATAAACAGGGGTACTTGGACAATCGATGTCCAAGACCACATCGATGACCTCGTCAGCTGTAGGAGGAGGAGTGGGGGAGCAAGCCAGCTCAGCCTCCCACGCCGCCTGATGCTCCGGGGTTGTCACCTCTACAGTGGGACGCCTCACATCTACTTCGTACAGGTTGATCTCCAGAGAAGCCGGAGAGTAATCATTCCCCATGAGAGATGGGGCAGCGCTGGCCAAAAGGGGGGAGGGAAGGGAACTGGGGGTGATGACATCATCATCCATCCCCAGGAAAAGAGGTGCCAGCGGCGACCAAACTACTGGAGAAGCCAGAGGATCGGCTGCTGGAGGAGGAGGGAGAGATTTGGCTGCAGAAGTCGATCTCTCATGAGGACGAAGCTGGACCACGATCCAACGACGTCTTGCAGGAATGGTAGTCCCATCAGAGGAGGGTGCACTCGTGGTGGCCTGCGAGTGGGTTCGATATCGTGAAGAAACCATGTTGCACATTGAGTCAGGTGGCGAGGACATGGATGGGTAATGATGAAGGAAGACATGACTCAGTACCTGCCTCAACGGAGCTCAGCTCTTAAGAGGGGGGTAATGTCATGGGCCTAGGTGCGCAGAACGAGGAAAGACCGAAATCCATATGAAGGTAGTGCAGGAATCATGGAATCGGGTAGATTGGAGGAGCTGTGACAAAGTTCACCAAGATTGGTAGTAGAATCAGCTCTATGGCAGATCACAGCGAAATTGGCACGAGCATCATCGATATCACGAATCCCACCAGAACCTGCAGCAAGCAAGATCGTGTGGCAGATTCTGCGGGGATCGGTAGTAAGGATGTCCATATGACAATTCACATGCAAGAGGGACCGAGCTCAGTGACACACAGTCAGTTACCACTCAGGGGCCCACAGGACAGGAGTAGAAGAGAACCGTCACCGGTCAAAGGAAGGAGATCTGTGTATGGGACACCGGTGAAAGGGACATGAAGAGGAGGAGCAGTGTCGATGAAGTCAACACAGCTCAGGAAAGACAGGAGGGACAAGGCTTGAAATGGAGAAGGTGCCTCCTTGGAGTTCCCTGTGCAGTACTCGACAAGGAGGGTACCCTCTGGAGAGAGGGAGCAGGGGCAGTGCCACTGGTGACGCTGCGAAGAGGTATATAGTCCTACCTCCTCATCACAAATGGTCGAGTGGAGGCTCATCCACTCTACACTCATCAACCATACTAGTATTACTTCAAGCAATAAGTATCATTAGTACACAGCCAGCATAGAAGTAATCAACAGATTGCTCCTCAATGAAGCACATGTGTTGTATCACTGTTTCCTGGCATCCGAAGGTGGTTCGTAGCAACCAGCGGTCTGGATAACAATAGAACCAAAGGCAGACGTCCACTGCGGCCTGGGGATCACTTCAAGCGTTAGCTGACACACTGGACACTCATGTCGGTGTCATCAACCCATACTCACACCAGACCATTGGTGTCAACATCAAGCTCATTTAGAGTCGTATCATAGTCTGATCGTGCCGAGCTACCTCTGGACGGAGTGTCCACAGCAGTTAGTCGAAATCTGTCACAACGATAATACAACTACAGATTCTAGCGAGAAAGGTGACAGAGAAGGCTCTGTCGCATATTTCACTAAGAATCGAAATACCATTAGCGCTGTTGCATAATTCAACAGAATCGGTGATAGTACTGATACTACTACTGTTCTCAGGTTTCAGGCGCGCGACCGCTGACATGTGCCTCTTCAGTGTCACTGAAGATCAGGAAGTCATCTAAGTATACTACCACATATATCCCAATGATGTCTCAGAAGATGTCATTGATGAATGACTGGAAGTGAGCTGGAGCATTAGCTAGGCCAAAGGGCATCACTAGGTACTCATAGAGTCCCAACTGAGTGCCAAAAGCTGTCTTCCATTCATCTCCTTTAGCAATCCGGATGAGGTTGTATGCTGCTCTAAGGTCTAGTTTGGTATAGATCCTTGCCTTCCTGAGTAAGAACAGCTGCTCCTCGATGAGGGGCAGTGGTGCCCTGTTCTTGACAGTGATCTCGTTGAGACCTCAGTAGTCCACACAGAGTCTGAGACCTCCATCCTTCTTTGGTACGAAGAGCACTGGTGATTGTGCTGGGCTCTTTGATGGTCTTATGAACCCCTTCTTGAGGTTCTCATCCAAGTACCTCCTCAACTTGGACATCTCCTTGGGCCCCTTAAGGTACAGGGGCCCTTGAGGTGGCTTACCTCCTTCTAACAACTCGAGGTGGAGATCATGCTTGGTATGATGGGGCAGCTTGTTTGCTTCCACTTCATCAAACACATCTCGCAGGTGTTGGTATGGCTTTGGTATATCTGCAGCCATCACCACCTTGTCCACCTCTACCTCCATCTCTACTCCTTTGTCTGTGCCTGTAGGTACAAAAGCAAAGGCCAGGAGTGATGATGGTGGCTCCTCCAACAGCATGAACCCTATGGGTCCATCTTCTAGAGCTGCTTGCAGTATGTGCTCTGCTGAGACAAACTCGTTTCCATGAAGGGTTGGTCTCCTCATGGTTAGGTCTCCTGCTCTTGCTGCTTCAGGGGGTCTCCTTGGGGGTCGGTCCTGCTCCTGAGTCTTGAACTCCAGCTGGTGCATATCCCATTGTATGGTGGGTTTGAGCCTCCATAGCTTGGTGAACCCCAGGATGAGGTCATAGTCAGCAGTGTCGGCTACTGAAGCTTTGACCACACCCAGATTGTGTGTACCAATAGATACCTGCATGCTCGCAGAACTATTGATGGAGAGTTGGTGTCTGGTGACACCATGGATCGATCTTGTTTTTATGGGTTTTGTGGGTATTTGGTACTTACTAATGAAAGAATCTGAGACTATGGACAAACCAGCACCGGTATCAGCTAGTATCCGAGCAGGATGGTCTTGAACCATTCCAGAGAGCTCCAGTACTGCTTTGCCTCCACTGGTAGAGAAACATACTTGACAATCTTGATATATACAGAGTGATGGCGAGGAGGTTTGTAGAGCAATGCATGCCATCAGTGCATCACCCCACTGACGTTTCCCTCGTCGTCATCATCGTTGTGCTCCTCCTCGTGATCGAGGTCCATGGGTTGCTGGTATGAGCTGAGGTCCATGGCCTCGGGTTCACTTGTCTTGGTGCTACCTGTGTGGCCATCTCCTGAGTTGGTGGCATCCTCGAAGGGGTCTGCTGTGGTGACCATGACCTTTGGACCCATGGGTCGAGAGCTAAGAGGGTCTACCCTCCTGCTGGGGCAGTCTCTGGCCCAATGGCCGATACCCTTGCATACATGACAGGTGTTGGTACCTGATGGAGCAGGGCTTCCTTGCTTCGAGGTTTGGGTGGGTTGATGAGGAAGGGGTCGATTAGTTGGTTGGTTTAGGTTTTGTGTAGTTGCTTGTGTAGTTGCTTGTGCTGGTGATCGAGCTGAATAAGGTAGAGTGGGTTGACATATGGGGATTGAACCTTGATTTGGCTGAGACCCAGTTCTTAGTGGAGGTGATGTGGCATTTGGGAGTGAGTGTCTAGCCGAGGACTGCTGTAGTAGCATCCTCTGTCGTTCTATCTCTTCAACCTCTCGGTACTGTCATGGGCTTGGTGGCGCAGGAAGCGGGAAGACCCAACAGTTCATATGAAGGTAGCACAGGAATCGAAGGATTGGGTGGATCGGTGGATTTACAGAAGAATTCAGTGAGATCAGTAGTAGACCCAGTTCTATGACAGATCTCATTGGGATCTGCACAAATGAACTCGATATCACAGATCTTACCAGAATCTGCAGTAAGTATGATAGTATAGCAGATTTTGTTGAGATCAGTGACAACAATGTTCATACAACAATTTCACATGTGAGAGGGACTATGCTCGCAAGCGAGGAGGATTGAGTGCTGCTGAGACAGGGACTGAGCTCACGAAGCATGCAGATGGTTACCACTCAGGGGCTCAGGAGATATGCAGACAAGAGAACCATTGCTGGTTGAGGGAAGAGGAGCTGTGTGGCAGGCACCGGCGAACCAATCATGAGGAGGAGGAGCAGTGTCAAGGGAGTCGACACAGCTCAGAAAAGACAGGAGTGATGAGGCATTGTGAGGAAGGAGTTTCAGTAGAGACTCCTGCACAGTACTCAGTGGCGAAGGTACTCTCTGGAGAGAGTCGGAGCAGTGTCACTGGCGACACTGTGAAGAGGTATATAACCATACCTTCTCATCACAAATGGTCGAGTGGAGGGACATCCACTCTACACTCACCATACAACTAGTCAATACTTCAGAAACATAAGTACTCATTAGTTCCCAGTCAGCATAAGTTGCAATCAATGGATTGCTCCTCATCGAAGCATGTGTGTTGTATCACCGTTTCCTGATGTCTGAAGGCAGTTCTAGCAAACCAGTGGTCCAGATATCGATAGAACCAAAGGCAGTCATCCACTGCAGTCTGGGGATCACATCAAGCGTTAGCCGACACACTGGACACTCATGTTGGCATCATCAATCCATACTCACACCAGACCATTGGTGTCAATATCAAGCTCGCTTAAGAGTCATATCGTAGTTTGATCGTGCCAAGCTACCTCTGGACAGAGTGTCCACAGCAGTTAGTCGAAATCTGTCATAATGATAATACAACTACAGATTCCAATGAGAAAGGTGACAGAGAAGGCTCTGTCGCATATTTCACTAGGAATCAAAATACCATTGATGCTGTTGCATAACTCCACAGAATTGGTGATAGTACTGATACTACTACTGATCTCAGGTTTCAGGTGCACGACTGCTGACATTAGAGTGGATCGTTCAAGCAGCACCCCACGGTCAACATGACAGATGAAAGCCTCAACGATAAGCTCGAGAGGCTACTCTCCTTAATGGAAGTGCAGCTGGAGCTTACCAGACAAGGGCAACATGAAGAGCGTCTACACTGCACTCGTCTGAGTGGAGAGGAGGCAATCAAGCCCTCCCACCCAGAAGATCAAGAGGCTAGGGAAGAGATGATGGGAGACCCTCCCACACCGTCCCCAGCATCACGTCCAAGGCAGGCAGTATCATTCATGGAAACGAGCGAACCGCCAGTCAACAACTATGACAAGTATGCCTCACCCACCAGGCCCAGATACTTCAGGCCCTGTGTGGATCTGTACAACCAGCCAAGGGCAGAATCTCATGGTTTTGACCAAGAGGAAGATGCAAGTGCCTCTGGAGACCCCAGTCTCTCATGCTCTAAGCTGGTCGCCACTCCATTCCCCAAGTTCAATCCTAGAGACATTGAGATATTCATTCTTGAGGCTGAGGCATGGTTCAAATTCAACCAGGTCTATGAGCAGGCAAGGATGATCAACCATATGGGTGCTCAATTGGAAGGGAACGCTCACGAATGGTGGACTTCCAAGCTTTGCATCGACAGAGGCCGAGAAGGAAGACTGTTCAATGATTGGCATTACTTCACTGAGCGCCTGATGGAACAGTTCAATCCTCGGAACACCAGAATGGAGGCCTACAACAAACTGTTGGCTCTCTGGCTCATGAGCGATGCACCTGGTGCTGCCACACACCACGTCGAGCAATTCAGGGACTTAGAAGGACAAGTCAATCTAGATGACAATGAACTAGTTATTGACTTGTTTAGGGGAAGTCTCACACAGAGCCTCCAGGAGAAGTTTGAGTGGAACCCACCCATGAAGAGGTGGGAATGGTATCAAGAGGTTGAAGAGATCGACTGGCAAAGGATGCTGCTACAGCAGTCCTCTGCCTGGCACCCAAGCGTCGCTCCATTGTGACCAAACCCCAGAGCTCGACCTACGCCACCGGCTCAAGGTTCATACCCTGCTCGACAACTGGCACAGACCATTCCAACTCGACCGCCAGTACAGACATTGTCAGGGAACCTTAATTGACCAACCAATCGCCTCCCCCCCCACCAGATTGTGCAGGGTCCGAAACAAGGAAGCCCTGCATTAAGCAGCAGCACTTGCCATGTGTGCAAAGGTATTGGTCATTGGGCCAGAGACTGCCCAAGCAAGAAGGCAGACTCTCTGGGCCCACAAACCACAGGCCCAAAGGTCATGATAACCACTGAAGACCTCTTCGGAGAAGGAGCCACTGACTCAGGAGATGGACAAATGGGCAGCCCTGAGATGGGCGAGTCCGAGGAATTAGATTTCAGTCCATACCAGCCACCCATGGACACTGACCATGAGGAGGCCAAAGACGATGTCGATGAGGGAAATGACAGTGGGGCGATGCACTGATGGCATGCATGGCTCTACAAACCTCCTCGTCATCGCTATGTATATATCAAGATTGTAAGGTATGTTTCTCTACCAGCAGAGGAAAAGCGGTATTGGAGCTCTCCGGGATGGTCCAAGACCACCCAGCTCGTATACTTGCTGACACCGGCGCCAGTTTGTCCATAGTTTCAGACTCTTTCATTAGCAAGCACCAAATACCCACAAAACCCTCAAAAACAAGATCGATCCATGGTGTCACTGGCCACCAACTCATCATCAATAGCGCTGCAAGCATACAGGTTGCTATCGGTGACCACAGCTTAGGTGTGGTCGATGCATCGGTAGCCGATATGGCTGACTATGACCTCATATTAGGGTTCACTGAACTTAGAAGGCTCAAACCAACCATATGATGGGATATGGGGCAACTAGAGTTCAGGCCCCAAGGACAGGAGCAACCCCCGAGGCGGCCCCCCGAGAAAGCGGTAGCTGAGGGTTTACACATGAAATTGATGAAATTGATCATAGTGGCGGAACTATCACAGAATTTGACGAAAACTGCTGTAACAAGCGAGCAAAAAAATGAGCTTGCTACAGAAGACAACTTATTACCGATTTCGCCGAAGTTGGTAGTAACGGGCCCCTATGACAAGGGAACGACATGTCCAACCATACATGGTAATGAATTCATTTCAGCGGCAAGTCTGATACAGGCAGCTCTTGAAGACAGACCCATTGGGGTCATACTCTTGGACCTCCCACCATCATCGCTCCTGGCTTTTGGTTTTGTACCCACCGGCAACGACAAGGGAATAGAAATGGAAGTCAAGATTGATAAGGAGGTATCGGTGGAAGAGATACCTGTGCCATATCAACATCTTCAGGATGTGTTTGATGAGGTGGAAGCAGATAAGCTGCCCCACCATACTGAACATGACCTCCATCTTGAGTTAATGGAGGACAGTAAGCCACCCCAGGGTCTGCTGTACCTCAAGGGACCCAAGGAGATGGCCGAGTTATGGAAGTACCTGGATGAGAACCTTGCGAAGGGGTTCATACGGCCCTCAAAGAGCCCGGCTAAATCACCAGTGCTCTTCGTACCCAAGAAGGATGGAGGTCTCAGACTGTGCATGGACTATCGCAGCTTGAATGAGATCACCCTCAAGAATCAGGCACCATTGCCCCTCATCGAGGAGCAGCTTTTCCTACTTCGGAAGGCAAAGGTCTATACAAAACTAGACTTGCGAGTGGCTTACAATCTCATTCACATAGCAAAAGGAGATGAATGGAAGACTGCATTTGGCACACAGTTGGGACTCTATGAGTACCTGGTAATGCCTTTCGGCCTGGCGAATGCACCAGCTCATTTCCAGTCCTTCATCAATCACATCTTCCGGGACATCATCAGAGTCTATGTGGTTGTATACTTAGATGACTTCCTCATCTTTAGTAGTACAGAGGAAGAACATGTACAGCATGTCACTGAAGTCCTCACATGATTATGGAGCAATCGACTGTTAGCCAAGCTGTCCAAGTGTGAGTTCCACATCACCACAGTGGAATTCCTGGGGTACATTATCAAACTGACTGGGATTGAGATGGACCAAGAGAAGGTGCGAACCGTGAAGGAATGGCCAATGCTGGAGACAATCCATGACATCCAATGGTTTCTCAGCTTCGCCAACTTCTACCAGCGATTCATAGCTCACTTCGCCTGAATCGCCAAGCCATTAACATCATTGGTGAAACCAACAGAATGATTCAAGAAGTTTGAGCTACCGGAAGAGGCTCAACAAGCTTTTCACAAGCTCATACAAGCGTTGATGATGGCCGGAGTGCTTCGGCATTTCAATTACCACCTTCCCACAAGGCTGGAGACAGATGCAAGTGACTTTGCCATCACTGGGGTGCTCAAACAAGAGCATGAAGGATGTTGGCACCTGGTAGCATTCTACTCCAGGAAGATGTCCTTGGCTGAAAAGAACTACGAAATT